GAAAAGAAATAGTAATGGATAAAAGCTTTATTTATTATATCACTGAATACTACTTCACAATGTTAATTTTTCTTATTGATGATTTCTATTATCCATTTGTATCAACAAATTTGTAAGTAAATGATTTTAATAGATAATTAGTTAATAAATTGTTAATAAGGAGAATTAGTTCTATGAGGAGAATACACGGGTTTTTCAAAATTGCTTCAAAGAGAAATGTATGCTTGGGACAAGAGCTGACATCATAACATTTGACCGTTTTCGGCATTTCTGAGGCAAGTGTGCCCGAAGTGATTATGAACCACACGTAATCCGTGTGGACTCAAGTAAACTAGTACTGCTAAATTTCATTTTCTATTAAATTAATGAACAAGAAAGTGACATGGATACCTTATAAGTAATAACTTCTAAGGTTAATACCTTGTTTACTTTACTTACTATAATATCTTGTCTTGAAACTATAAATTGTAAGTGTTCTATTGGTTACAATATGTTCTACATAAAACATAAACAAAAATAATAGATAAATACTAATGATTACCTGGAAGGAGCCATTCTCTAATAGTATAATATTCAAAACTATAAACATAATGACATCCAGTAAACAATTGGTCCAATTGATTGTTCGGATATCTGTAATGATCAAAACAGTACTCCCACAAGCCCATATTTTTGAAATTAGTAAAAGTACCATTATAGCATTCAACCCAGTAGGGACTAAAACAAAAATAACAAAACTTTAATATGATTATAAAGTTACTAGTTTTACAAAGTAGGGCAAAATCAACTAAGTACCTTGCAAAAGCAATTAGAAGACACATTCCCGCAATATATAGCAGAATTCCTCCAAATACCATTGACTCTAAAAATAAAAATTGTTGGAAAATTTAATAAATTGTTGGTATCATCAAAACATAAAAATTAAGGGAATGTGTAAAAATTACCAGAAGGTCTGGGTATATCTTTGTGTTCCGACATTTTCGGTTGTTTAAATTAAAGTCTAATACAATGTAAAATACAATAAAAAATAAATTAGAATAAACAACTTTTATTGAACTCAAAACATTGTTTATCAAATAGACACACCCTCGGTAACCAAAACATCAAAATTTAAACAACCAAAAAGTTTCATTCTTCTTTGGTCAACGAGTTAATTCAAGTTGAAATAGATATTAAACCGAGCTCAAACCCAAGAAAAAATTTTTAACCAAAAGATTTATTTTTTAGCTTTAATTAAAAATGATATTGCCACATAAAAATAGATTATTTTAAGTGAATATCCTAAGGTTCATCTTTCGAATAATTACAGCCCTCTACTTCACCTAAGTATGTACTTGCACGAAAAACGGACTGACATTGAACTTATCACTGAAACACACTTAACTCCACGTACTAAATTTTACATCCCCGGTTACAGAATATACAGAACCTGCACCCAGACAATACAGCTCACGGCGGAACAGCAATACTAATTAAAACATCACTAAAGCACCACTCACTACATTTACCCATTACACCTGATATACAATCTACAGCCATTACACTATATACCTAAAACCAAACCATTATCTTTGTTGCAGTGTACTGTCCTCCGAAGTACGTGCTCACACCTCCGATGTTTTGCAATTTCTTCAATCGTCTGGGGATGTGTTTTATTGCTGGTAGCGATTACAATGCCAAACACCAGTCCTGGGTATCCCGACTTTGTACTCCTAGAGGAAGAAACCTAAAGTCTGCCATCCATCAGCTTTCATTAGACACGATCTCACCTGATACACCTACTTACTGGCCAACTTCAAGACAGAAAACACCAGACCTACTTGATTTTTTCGTCACTAAAGGACTAAGGACTGTACCATACACTATAAATGCACGCTGCAACCTTTGTTTTGATCATTCTCTTCTCAGCTTAGTACTGTATGATGAGCCATGTACTACAATAAAACGACCATCTCTCGTAGGAGGAATTATCGATTGGGATGGATATCAAGATAAGCTAAACGAAATGCTCTCTATTCCAATGTCTCTAAGGAACGAATATGAAGTTGAAGAAGCTGTGGATAAATTCACAAACAGCATTCAACAAGCTATATTGTCTTCTTCTGTCCCAAGGTCCAACCGAAATGAGTGGCTTCCAACATATCCTCAGTACATAAGAGATTTGATCAGGACAAAGAGAAGAGCTCGCAAAGTATGGCAAACTGGTCGACTGCCATCTGACAAACGGACATTCAATAGACTCAACAATGAACTAAAACGACATATTTAAAGTTATAAAACTTCAATTTACGACAACTACATCAGAAATCTCTCTACTGACGATGGGAGCTTATGTAGGCATACAAAAAAACTTGTAAATCATCGTGAAGTGTCTGCACCTCTCCGAAACGACGATGGTTCCTGGGCCGTGTCAGATATAGAAAAATCGGAGCTATTCGCTATCCATCTTTCTTCTGCTTTTACTCCACATACTGACTTCAACAACATTGAACACGAAGAAAAAGTACTAAACACTTTAGACATTCCACTACAATTGGAATTACCTCCACCTTATTTCACTCCGAAACTTGTTGCAGAACAAATTAGACAATTACCTAAAAAGAAAGCCCCTGGTCATGACCTCATGACTGCTCACGCGCTCCAGAAAATGCCAAGAAAAGCTCTAGTTTACTTAACAGTTTACAATGCAATACTCAGAACGACCAAATTTCCTGTACAATGGAAATGCTCATACATTACAATGATCCACAAACCAAACAAAGACAAATACACCCCTTCATCATACAGGCCAATTAGTCTACTCCCAATATGTTCCAAAATCTTTGAAAAATTACTATACAAAAGACTTATAAACATACTGACGAACGGAAAAATAATACCCGACCATCAATTTGGATTCCGACGACAGCATTCAACCATCCATCAATTACACAGGGTGACTGACTACATTGCAACTGCACTGGAGCAAGAATTGTATGCAACTGGAGTATTTCTGGATATCGCTCAAGCATTCGATAGAGTCTGGCATAAGGGTCTTCTCTTCAAACTTAAGACGATACTCCCCCCTACCTATTATCTTATACTTCAATCCTTTCTTTCTGACAGATTTTACTCTGTTTGCCAAGGCTCAGAACTTTCTTCAATAAGACCAACCTTAGCAGGAGTTCCTCAGGGGTCAGTACTCGCTCCGTTTTTATACATTATATTCACACACGACATCTCTAACAGCGCCAGAACTATTATAGCGACTTACGCAGACGATACAGCTATTCTAACAAGACATAAAAACCCAACACACGCCACACAGACTTTACAACATCATCTAACAAAACTAAACGACTGGTGCAAACTCTGGAAAATTCGACTCAACCAAGACAAATCACAACACATCACTTTTACTCTTCGACATGGAACATGCCCTCCTATTTACCTTGACATTGCCGAAATTCCTCAAACAGATAAAATACAATATCTCGGACTGACATTCGACAGAAGAATGACATGGGGTCCACATATCAACAAAAAAAGAAAAACTTTAAACCTCAGACTACGACTGCTATACTCACTTCTCTCAAGACGTTTAAAATTAAACCTAAAACAAAAACTGAACACTTACAATTATCTACTTAAGCCCATATGGACCTACCCTTCACAAATTTACGGAACAGCCAAAACGACCCACATACGAAAACTACAAACTTTTCAGTCTAAAACTTTCAGAACCATAACCAAAGCTACATGGTACGTCACAAACATTACACTACATAAAGACCTTCAAATGCCAACAGTTAACGATCACATACGGACACACTACAAGCGATTTCACAATAACTTGCATGGACATACTAACAAACTTATACAAAGTATGGCTACATTTAACATGCCCGAAAACACACTTAGGAGGCTCAAAAGGAGCTGGATGAAGGATTTCCTCACTTAAAAATATGCTAAAATCAAGACAGGAAAGGATGCCGGTGGGTACTCCTCTCCATCACGCCGATCAAGCCATTACCTGTACACTTACCGACAGCAGACCCGCTAATTGTCACTGCTTATAACAGGTGTGGGTGAATAAATAAAGTTATAAAAAAAAATGTATATCGCAAGTGCAGAACGAAAGAGGGAAAATTCGAAATTTCTATGGTCGAAAATTTAATGATTGGACGCCTTTCATTGGAAAAAACTACTAGCTCTAAATATCGGACCAAACCAATGATAACAGATGATCTTATAGCAACATATATTAATTGAAATCCACTGAGAAATCTATGGAACAGTTTAGAAATTAACTGAGCTTTTGTCATCAATATAGCATTTGTCATCTCAGCGCTTAGTTTAGGAACTTTCCCTTTTATTATGCCCCTTTTAAACGAAAATCCTCTTGTTTTTAATACTCTATTTGTATAAAGTCATCGATTATAAGAGAAAGTGACCAATAATACAGTTGATATATAATAATATAGAAAGTGGAGTAGAGTAGTGAGTAAAGCACTGTGCTCCGATGTTTCGGATTCTGGGATCAAGATAGGCTGTAGTAGGAAATTATGTATTCTGCTACAACAGCCGTAGATCGACCCTGGGTTCAGGAGACCCTCCTGGGGCGCACCCAGCCTCAATAAAATGGCTACTCGTAACGTAATAAATAATTAAGAGGAAAAACTTTAGGGTTGATTGTTATCTCGGCTACACAAAATATTAAACCCAATATCATCAATGGATTATAGTGGTATAGAGAATTTTTAAACAATAATACATATACTACAATGTAGTATATGTATTATTGTTAAAAAAAGTCTTTTAGTAACTACATATGTATATTTCAGTTATCAACTATCACTCATTCCTAGTTAGAGTACATTGTACATTGTGCTTGAACCTCTTTGGGAACTGTATGAGAAGGTTATATCAGCTACTGGCTTGTAGGTTTTGTTTTGTTCCTAAGAATGAATATTGCGATTTCTTAATATATTATTCATTGCCGAAATTAAAAGATATCCGCAATGGCGTCTAGCTCGACAAGTGAAAACCAAGCTACTTTGGCCCAATTAACATGGGAAATATCGAATACTATTGAAACCATTAGTGCAGTTGATGAACTTTATAGATATGACAAGAAACAACAACAAGATATTCTTAATGCAAAACCTTGGGAGAAAGAGTAAGTATATTTACATTTTTTTAACAATTAAGTTTTTTCACCAATTCAGAATCTTACATAATTTTTTTTCCAGTCCTCATTTTTTCTCTGAGATCAAAATTTCAGCTCTAGCATTACTAAAAATGGTAATGCATGCAAGATCTGGTGGAACCTTGGAAGTTATGGGTCTCCTTCTAGGTAAAGTTGATGCTAACACAATGATAGTTATGGATTCCTTTGCCCTTCCTGTGGAGGGCACAGAAACTAGAGTAAATGCTCAAGCACAAGCTTATGAGTACATGACTGCCTATATAGAGTCAGCTAAACAGGTATGATTTTTATTTTTTTAATGCCTTCACAACTTGTTTTAATTAAATGTTTTTGTTAGCTCATTCTTAAAGCAAATTTTAGTTGATAACAGTTTTTTATGTAAAACTGTACTGATGTTTAATTATTTTTTTATGGAACTATTAAAGCTTATTGTCCCTTACAAAAATATTGCCTTCTTAGTGACCAATCGAAAATTATTGATAAATATTTTAGTTAAGTATCGCTCACTAAGATTGACAAAACAGTAATATTTAGGAGAGTTATGTGGAGTAGTTAGGTGTAATTCAGCAAAGTAAAGGAAAAACACTCGTAATCTTAACATCTAAAATAATATCTGAAACTCAGAAAATTTACATTACCGTGACAGCAAATAAAAAGTTACTTTAAGTGATTATACCAAATTATGTTCCAGAAAGATAGAAAATTGATATTTTTTTTGTTTTTTTAGGAACATTTACAACAAAAAAAGATTTATCGCAAATGTTGTTCTATACAATTTATTATTTTTTTTTTGCACTTACATTTATTTATCATTCATTTATTGATTACAAGTATCGAAAATCAGCAGATATGCTTGTATAGTCATGAAGATAATAATAATAAATAAATAGAATAATAATAATTAAATAAATATATAAAAAGGCTTGTTGAGCATGAGGAAAAGCGACACCCAGCAGTATCCCTTCCATGGCTTTTATTTACTAAATCATTATTTAAGTAGATCCCTCATCCAGACCTTTTTAAGTTATCTGCTGGAGTTATCGGGCATACTAGTTGTCGCCATTTCTTTTATCAGCTGGTTGGAGTGTCCATTCAACATATTATGAAATCGTTTGTAGTAACTTTGTATGTGTTCATTAACCATGGGAACATGTAAGTCTGTGTGTAAAGTGTGGTTGTTCACGTACCATGGTGCTTGAGTGATTAGTTGTAGTATCTTAGACTGAAAAGTTTGATGTATTTTTATGTGTGTTGGTTTTGCAATTCCATATATTTGTAGTCTGTAAGTTTAAAGAGGTTTTAAAGATATGTGTAATTACTTAGTTTCCGTTTTGTTTTTAATTTGGAATGTCATCTTAACAGTGAGTATAACAATTTTAGTCTTAGATTTAACGTGATTCATTTTTCTTTACATATGGATCCCATGTCATTCTCGTATCAAAGTTAAGGCCTAGGTATTGTACTATATCTGTTTAGATACAGATAGCGTACAATACCTAGGCCTTAAGTTCGATAGGAGAATGACATGGGGTCCATATATAAAGAAAAATGAGAAGTATTTCCTTAGGATTGTCCCTTTTGGCGTTATCACCCAACGTCAGTTCCATTCTTCTAATGTGCATTATTCTTACATTGAATCTAAGACTAAAATTCTTATTCTCACTGTTACTATGGAGTCTACAGGATTATGTTTCAGTTAATTTTTAACGAGTTTTGCTGTTCCTCTGTGTGCAGTTTTATCCGGGTGATCGAGATGTCAGGTGTGTTTCTGTAATGAGTGCTACGTCGATCCGTTTTTCGTGCAACTATAAGTCAAGTTCAGTACTGTGCTATGGCATTCCACAGAAGAATAGACAGGGAACCTACAGTTAAATTATTGTGGTCCATAATTTGGGCATCAGACCTGTGTAACCTGTGACATGTTGAAGAAGAATGAAAAGGGGCTGGATTAAGTTATTTAATCCAATAATTATATTAAATAATTGGGAAGAGCCATTATCTACCAGAGTTACTGGCTGAGTACTGCCTCTCCTCCTAACTGTACATGTTTTCTGGTTCTGGTGTGCTGAGCACGATGATGTTTGATTTTGTTGTTACGGGGGCTAGCGATGATCTGTGGTTCCCCTTGGTTGCCTGCTAATATGGAATGCTAAAGATGGTTTCTTGCATTTTGCTAAACCCTGAGATCTTTCAGTGTCTGGCAGCCTCTGTAGTTAGGGGCTGATCGCCACAAATGGCACACTTCGCAGGGATTTCTCTGGTTTTCAAATATGAACTGCTTTCATGATATTCTCTGCACTTAACGCATTGTGGTCAATGGTCGCAACATGTTTTAATGCGCCCATATTGCTGGCATCAAAGATAGAGGAATATTTCTCTTTTGATGCGGTTCCTCAATTTTAATATTTGAATAATATAGAAATTAAATCCTAAAAAATGTCATCTCTAAATGTTTCTTTTGTAATATCCACAAAGAACATTGGAAAGAGTTTGTTGAATTGGAATATGACTTTAGCTACATAACCCAATTTTTTAAATTCTTAAAGAAGAATATTAAAGAATGATATCGACTGGTGTTCAGTGGCAGAGATATTTAACAACAACCCTTGGGCACCTGTCCTGTGGAGAGTTGGTAAGTATGGAGGTTCGCACTTTTATTTTGTTGGCTAGAATTCAGTTTTCGATAAATTTCAGGATTTTATTGGTACACCGTGTGTGGACATCTTTGTCCTATCTTTTCGATGTAAACATTGTTTTAAATGTATTCCGGCCAGCCTTATTTTCTAGGAATGATATTAATGCATGATTATTCTCAACACCATTTATAAAAATTGGTGGAGTGTTATCGTTTTGAAATGGTCTTACTTCTTCTGTTTATAAATTAGTTATGTTGGTTAGAATCTGAAAACTGTTCGAGGTTTGAATAAGTTCTGTTAGTCGTTTTTGAGCTCTTGACTTACTTGAATCTGCCATAGGTCTTTTAGAATAGAATAGAAAATAAACTTTATTCTGGAACAAGGTCCCTTAAGAATGAAAATTATGAACAAAATATAAAAACCACATCTGGTCAGAAATTACATTAATCAAAATTAAATAATATATACAATATTTTCAGTGAAAGTATATTAAAACAAATAAAAAAGTAACACCATTTAAAAAAAACAAAACAATATTAAATGAAAAGAATAACAGAACTCAGGTAAAATAAAAAACAAAATGTTATAAGCACTATGGGGTGATTCTTAAAATTAAAACTCAAACAATTTTAACAACCATCCACCCCAGTCAAAATTTGATTCATAATATTTATTTCATTGTACAACTTCGTTTTGGGATGTGAGAAGGAATTGGTAGAGATGATATTTGAATGAGGACAAGGAAGAGGCATGACGGATATCAGACAGTCATTGTCTATATCACTATTTTTAAAGTCCATATTAATTACCTCAGTTTGAGATAATTCTGCCATTGTTGGCGGTAAAATCTGATCAATCTTTGTTTGGTGTTTAGTCTTTAGCAACCTTGTCTTGATAAAACCCTTTTATTACACAAAAATTAACAGTTTTTTGAAAGACAAAACTAAACTAACCTTTTACCTTAACATCAACAGCTGTCCTATACAAGTTTAAAATAATTTATCACATAAACTAATAAAAAATGCTTCAACATTACTCCTATCCTCAAATTTCCTACAAACTATTCAAGACCCATGAAATCATCCATAAGAAATCTGCTGTTGACAAAAACTTCCATTCACAAAAAAATTCAGATACCATGTTTTGTTGGTGAAAACAGAGCCTTATTTGGTTTATGCTGTGTAAATGAGTAGTTTTATGAGGAAAGCTGTCCTTGAGTAAATTATTTAAATAGATTTTTTGTTAATAATTCTACCTATAAAGATCATCCTGACTTTATTTTATCTTTTCAAACATATTTATAAACCAATTTTGTTTGAAATTATATTTTAGGTTGGTAGATTAGAAAATGCTATTGGTTGGTATCACAGTCACCCTGGCTATGGATGTTGGCTGTCAGGAATTGATGTATCAACACAAATGTTGAACCAAAATTTTCAAGAACCATTTGTCGCAATAGTTATTGATCCTGTACGCACCATTTCTGCTGGAAAGGTTTGCTTAGGTGCATTCAGAACATATCCAAAGGTAATAATATTTATATCTTTAAAAGTTAATTTAATTTTACTTGTTATTGGCTCAAAATATTTTATTTCTGTACAACGTGTTTTCTTATTGTCATGAAAAAATAAAATTTCACATTGTTAGTATTAGGTAGAAATTTTATCATGGGAAGGAAAACTATTTATTTATTCGAAGAGTTGGTGGTGAAAATGAAAATTACAAACGAATTATTCCTTTCCTGTGGAAACTAATTATATGAATAGAGTATGTTGATATGTCTTTACATTCAGTACTGAAATAGTAAAGCAAACCATGAAGTTCATACAACTATTACAAACCATATAATTAAATGTCCAATTATAAAGTAGTCATATTTCACAGTTTTTAATTTTATTTACAAAATATTGTTGACTGATTGCAGTAGTATGAAGCTTAATTCTTCAGTATTTATAAACACTATAGTTAACTATTTGTTTGTTTTTTCATTTTACTGTTAATAATAAAAAAAAACACTTTCTGCCATATTTATATATTTTTTAGGTTGCTACATATTAATACAATATGTTTTTACTACTTTTTTTAATTACTATGCTTAGAAAGGCCAGTGACAATTTATTTTTAAAATTAAACTCACTCACACCTTGTCTATTAGTTAAAATTTTAATAATAAAATGAAACTGCAATATGATCTCAAAATAAAGATTTCCTTGAAACTTTAATTACTTTGTGAAATAATTATTTAAATAGATATTGATATAAAACGTAAAGGTTGCATTGTAGAAACCAGTAGAGTTAAGGCACCAAATATTGACACTTGTAACTTAAATTTGAAATAAGCATTTAGATGCAAGTAGGATTTCAAACTTGGTACCATTTCAAAACCACATTACATTAATCAGCCACAAATAGCCGCCAAGATAGTCTCCATTGGATGGTAATTTAGATGGAAAACGCATATTTCTTATCGTTTCACCTCAGTCGCCAGAACCTTACGTGTTTTGCTAAGAATTTAAGGCAAAATTTTACCTATTTTATCTCATGCTGTAATGTTTATGAGCTTCAATTCTTTTGCACATTTTGTTGCTACTTCCTCATGATGTGATATCATTTTCAAATGTGAATTTCGATTAAAATATAAATTTCCAAAAATAATGACACAAAGTGTATTATATGAACATGAACTGAAGAGCAAGAAACTGGGACATGAACAGAAGAAGGACATAAATAGAAGAACATTAATGAAGGCCATGAACATGAAAGAAGTCAAAATTTCGGCCGAAATGAACATAAATCGAACAATAAGTAAGGGTGACTTCATCACAGCCACAATATTTACCAAAATGAAAAAGCCATTCATGGCTTGTCGAGTTTTCAGGGTTTCAGAGGGAAAGGTCGCTGCTAATCCTCTCACAGCTTACAACTGACTGAAGAATGTTTTTCATCTAGATGAGGAATCAAAGAGCGTTAGAACATAGTTACCAAATTGCTAAAGCCTTTAATGTTTGGGAATAAGAAAAACCGAAGAGTTCTATTTCCTTATTCTGTAAATATTGATTGAAATGTAGCAAAGTATACATACCTATGATAGTATATAATTTCCTTTCTCATACTATTTTATCATATCTAGGTATGAGTAATAAGTTTTAAAGTGTTCAGATACTAATGTGTGATAATTTTGTACCTATAAATAAAAAACATTTTGTTCAAAATAAACTCGTTTGATGGTTGAGTATTGAACTGGTTCCTTTCCATGTGAAAAATTGATTTTTGCATGTCAATAAGTAGTGACAAACTTGTCATCGGTTTCGGGCTGAAAAAATTTAAAATTTCATAGTATTTTGGCCATTATATAAGCAGAATCTGTAGAACAGACTAGTATGAAAAACTTTGAAACATACAAATAGATTAATTAATAAAAAAGTTTAAGGTAAATTACTTGAAACATTTTGTTAAAATGTCAATAATTGGTGCCTTTATCCTATTGCCCCCAGTTGTCTTGTGCCAGCAAATTGCGGAGTTAGTAATTTTGTAGAGTTAAGTCAACTAATTCTCTGATCTTAGTCCCAAAGGATAGGTATTCAGTTTCTCTATTTCCAACAATAGTATTTTAATTTCTTTGCCCTCTAATTATTACTGCCAGTGCAGTTCTTAACAATGATTTTCAAGCAACAAATAAAATATTCTTAACTCTTTAAAAATTATTAATCATGTCATGTTTACAATTATGTTTTCAATCAAATTATGTTTACCTGTTGATGGAAAGTATACCTGTAGGTAAGAGAAATGTGTATTAATAGCAAGAAATATCACTAAAAGAAATCATTGTCTAATTATAATAATTATATTGATATAAATCAGTAAGTCACTTTTTACTGCATTAATAGTTTAAATAGGAACTTTTATTTTGATGAATACTCGTTGTATCTACTAAATTTATTAATTATATCGTTAACATTTCAGGGTTATAAACCAGCAAATGAAGAGCCTTCGGAATATCAAACAATACCTTTAAACAAAATAGAAGATTTTGGTGTCCATTGCAAGCAATATTACTCTCTCGAAGTATCATATTTTAAAAGTTCTCTTGATCGTCGTCTTTTAGATTCCTTGTGGAATAAGTATTGGGTCAATACTCTTAGTTCCGCTAGTCTTCTAACAAATGCTGATTACACTACTGGACAGATTCTAGATTTATCGGATAAACTGGAACAATCAGAATCTGCTTTAGGTAAGTTTTTATTTTTTAATCGATTTTTCATGTATCTATAATTATAATTGCCAGTTGAAAGATTTGTTAGATTAAGAAAAAGGACATGTTGGTTAATAAATCTTAAATTTAAGTGTGTACACTAGTATATTAGAAATCGGTCTATAATGTTGAATCAAATGAATAAAACATTTTTTTTTTTTTTAAATAAAAAATAAAATTTTTTTTTTTAAAGGACAAAAACTGCAATGTTGTTATAACTCATTAAGTGATTTAGAACTGTGTTATTTTTTCCCAGTAAGGTTTTAAATTATCTTTATACATTTTCTTTTAATGCGTATTAAATTAAGAATTTTTATATGCTCCTTGAATTCTTTTCTAGTTTAATTTTCATTCCCAAACTGATATTTAAGTATGCATGATGGTCAAAATAAGAATTACACAATACTTTGTTATTCAGATTTCCACATAATATATCCGAACTGCTTTGGTTCTCTTAGGGTTAATTTATACAACAAATGTTATAGAAATATGGTGAATATTAATTTAAAGTTTATTATATAATATATGTAGTACCATAATAATACTTTTTATATATATATTTAATTTAAGTAATTAATGATTGCTTCATTGTAAACAAGATGAAATTTACTTTAAATGAACATAGAGTATATCATTTTTAATACAATTTATAGAGGACTTGTGAGCGGCTAAACTAAGATAAGTTCTGTTTTTAGATGAATCATAAATTATTCGCTTTATTTTTATATCATCAAACTATACTACAGTTTCCACATTTTTACTAACATTCGTTTGATAAGCTTTAAGTTTGTATTACTTAAGTTGTGGCTTATCAGGGAAAAATTGGATTCAGCTCAACTATTGTAAAAAAAAAAAAATGATACTTTTTATCCTGTTAAGTAAAATTACACCTGTTTTCTGGAAATTGGCCCATTGCTTATATGAACTTATTTGTTGCTCTTTATGTCTGCTATCGCTCCTATAAAATTTCCCTCTATTGACGGGACATCCTGTGTATATTTGTACATATACACACACCGAAATTATTAGCATATTCTGCTAATTTCATATAATTTCAATAAGATAAGAGCATATAAATGTGTTTATTATTTACAATGCTTATATTTATTTCTCTAGGTCGTGGGCTCTTATTCGGAGGTGCTGATCAACATGAAAAGAGAACTGAAGACAAGCTACTTAAAGCAACTAAAGATAGTTGTAAGACTACAATAGAAATAATTCATGGATTAATGGCACAAATTATTAAAGATAGATTGTTTAATCAAATCAAACCAAGCAAAAGCGACTAAATGAACTGAATTATATTTTCTAATTTGCTAAAAACAAAAATATGTTCTTTCAATTTTTTTTTAAAGTTGTCTCCTCACTTTAAATACTAAATATATGTATCTATGAGTGTGTGTGTGTTATATCCTTGTGTAAATATGTTTGTATACTGAATTACAGATTACCTTTATTCAAACCTTTTTTTTTTTCTTCAGAAATTTTGATCCAATGAAGTAGTAATAATTTGTGTAAATAATAGCAAATAATTTGTGGAGATTTTGAATCATTTATCTCATTAGTTATGTTTTCTTAACTTTTAAAGCTTATTTTAATCTTGGTAACTTTTAAAGGTATAATGATTGAGAATCATTTCTGATAGTCATCTGATTTAAGTTGATATTCTGGTTTTACTAAGGAATTTTCCTTGTAGTATATCAAATATTGATGATAGGCAATGAAAATCTTGTAGCTCCATTTTGGAAATTTTACAAGAGAAAAAAATAAGTGTTCATAAAATGTATATAGTGATACAGAATTAGTTCCTATAGTTTTTTAATACATAGGACAAGCCTACTTATTTATACATGGCAGGTATTTATGAAGTTTCAAACCTCTCCTTGTACATAGAGCTCCGTGTGTGAAGTTCCTTGATCTTAATCAACTAATGAAGTTGTAAGATTATCATTACTTAACATCAATATATTTTTTTATTTTCAGGTCTTTTAAATTATGATTCCTGGTTAATAATGTATATCAAACTTAATAATTCAATTATATTAAATTTTAAATTAAAAATTTAAGTTTTTATGAAAGTATTTCAAATTATTTTTACTGTAAAGATGAACCCAGTGTAATAAATTTCCTAACTTAAATATAAGGCTAAGTAATATTAAAATATATAAAAAACAAATCTCAACATGAAGTTAAAATATCCTCTGATCTTATCTTGAAAGCTGTTAAAAAAAAATCTTCACGATATAAAAAATAAAAAGAAATTTCTGTGACTGTTCTATACACATTATAACTTTTTATATGAAGTATTTTTTAAAAACTAACTCAGTTCTTACCTATTGAGACTGAAATAAGATTTATTTAGAGGACGAAAAGTAATGAAATTCTTCATAAGTAAAGAACATACTCAAGTGCCTTATCTTTCATAATTACAAGTTTTAAAAAATAATAATTATTTATTCAAAAAATATTTGTATGGCTTGAAAAAAATAAATACAAATTTGTTGTGATTTGAAATTCAATAAAAAGGATAAGAAATTATTATTAATGGTTAACAGAGAAAAAGTATACATTTCTTAAATCCGATTTATTGAGTTATGTTTTTCTATGCAAAGCATTTAATACTATTGATGTTATTGTTGACACATAGTGTGGCCAACCTTTGAACTACTACTTCTTTTGACATCAAACATTCATGTTTGGACATGTTCTGTCAGTTGTTGGTATTTGTGTTTGTTTTAGAGCTACACAGTGGAAAGCAACTTATATTTAATTTTCACAGTAAGTACTTTTTAATAATTTCATTTCTTTTCCTGTATAAATATTAATCAAGTTTTAACTTTAATTTAATTTGCCTTACAAATTATAGTTTCTCTAGAATAATATGTAGCATTCATGTAGTTCCTATCAAATTGGCAATTTTTTTATTTTATTTGTTCTTGCAATTTGTGGTTGTGTGCAAGAATGATGGAGAGACCTGTAATGGCCTGTTCAAAAGTCCGATGTTCCTGTTACTGAAGAAAGATAATTAGTATTAAGAGTTATTGAAGAAAAAAAAAACATGAACAGCAGAACTTTGTTACCAAGGTTTAATTTCTCTCTCAATTTTATTTGAAAAACAGACGATTAGAGATTTAATAGTTTAATTGATTCTTACACGAGGAAATGAAATAAAATTTTAAAATAAATTTTTTATTATGTTTTGCTTTTGGGACATTTTAATTGTTTTCTAATGAAATTTATCTAAACGGCAGGATAAAAAGTCTAGACCCTTCGAAAAACACTTGTCTAATATCAACATTTTCAACCCCCTAACATGATTTAGAGAACTGTAGAAAGCCTTCAAAATTGAGGGGGATGGTGAAAACCGGAAAGGAGAGGGGAGAAATTAGTTAAAAACGACAAAAGGAATTTCTTTTGCATTAACTCAATTCACATGCAAATTTTCAACCCTCAAACCAGAGGCGGATTTATGCACCAGCAAATTTATGCAGCATCTGTCTGAGACTGCAATTTTCGAGAATCACTAAAATTTAAATATAATTGTATTTTTACATTCCTGAGAATTTTATGTATGAAAAACAGCCCGATTGAACACCTATAATTATCTCCAGTTAGTTTTTAATGAACAAGCAATGATTGTTTTTTGGTATTGGATTAAGGGGAGAACATTCCTGTTGTAGATAAGGAAAAATACTAAAACATTCCTGCCTCAAACTCTGCAAAATAGAAAAAAAAAATAAATAAAAGCCCACAAGTGGAGAAAGTTGGAGAAACATGAAAAGACCTCCAGAAGGTATTTTTCTTAGGGCATAACAAGAAGGAGAAGCAATTAGTTCAGAGGTGGGGAAATTAGTTTTTTCATAATATTAAAATAGTAACAACCAATTTGTTGTTTATATATTTATTGGAATTTTATTTTTAATATTTTCCATGTTAGGAGGAGGGGACTTGTCCCTGCTCCTCCCTTTGGATACGCCCATGAACTTTACTAATACCAACTACAACCTCAAAATATCAACTTTATTTGGAGCAGATGCAGAGGTGCACAATCCTTTAAAAACCACTTGGACTTTTTGAGAATTCGAAGATATTTATATGTTACTATTCCATCTAGAAAACAACCCTGCATACCGAATGTCGATCCATTTTACCGAAAAGAATCCACTAAAGTTGCCAAAATGTAGTTTGTTTTTCGGTTGGCGTTGAAGACCATGTAGTCTTTTTTCGGCGCATTGTGGTCTTACAGATGTTTGTTGCTTGCTAGAGCATAGATAGTCTGGAGAGGGTCACTCAACCTCACATTCCTTCGACTATGGTTCAGCGGCAGGCTTCTCATAGTTTCACTGCCAATCCGTTTCGGGCCTATATGGCAATGTCCTTCCCGCCGACCCACTTAGGTTCAATAATTGTGACAAATTGGTCCAGATCCATTGTTTATTGCTTCTCAGAGTCAGCAGGCGTACGAGGATCTATATTACTTTCTCTGAAACAGAACCGCCATGGACGACATCTCAGAAAGGCTACTAAGTTCATGAAAAGCCATATCGGAATTCCCGATTAAAGTACATGGGGGTAGGGTCATCGCTCCGTCGGTGTGAGTTGTATCCAGTAGGCTGACAAATCTCACCCGGAGAGGAAATCTTGGGCAGGCATGGCTTTCTTCAGTGGACGGTCACCCTTCCAAGTACTTACCATAATCGATGTTGCTTAACTTTGATTGCATATAACAAGCTCCTTTGCCCCCTCCACCCTATGGTACAATAATAATAATAAAAGACTTAACGAAGGTACGATGTCGATACTATCAATCGCTGTCTACACTGCTCCGTCCACGCAATCTTCACACCTTCGCTTCAATCTACCTTTCGAAAGTTTAGCTGTCGGCACAGTTCATATTAACCTTTTAGGGGTTCTCTCGTTAATCTCCCAACAATTTTTAATTGTCCGTTTTATTCGCCAAAATATTATCATCTAGATCATATTAGCTCTATGCAATTCGTGTTGAAGCGTAAACATTAACATTCTCAAGTACAATGACGCCGGATAAAATCCGGCCTGGTGGGAGGGGAGTTAAAGTATTTTTCATGTCGGACCCACGGAATAAATCTCGACCTTTCCACTCTGGTTATAACAGGTTTGGTTGTATCTCTAGAACAACCGCCTTATACCAGGAATGGCGATGTAGAGGTCTCCTGAAAAAAATAAAATAAAATACGCTTCATACAATTCGGCATTGTGTAACCATCTAAATTCCCCTGTTGACTCATTCTTCTTCGGTCTGAATATTCTTTATTTTCAAAACTCTTAAGACTTTAATCATTCCTTAATTTAAGCGGTCACGTATCGCATCCATAAAGAACCATAGGTAGATTTATGGTTTTGTAAATTCTAACTTTTAAGTTTCGGGACAAGCTAATTGTTACAGAAACATAACAAGCATTTCTCGCCTTTAGCCCACTAACGGATCCAGGGTTCAATTTTGGGGGAGGGCTTCAGCCCGAAAGTTTTTTTTTTTTTTTTTTTTATAAATATGTTGGGATAATTTGGAAGAAAGAAAGAAACCAACTACGTATCTGAAATGGTCTTTAATTTCTATTAACTGTAATTACACGAACTATAGTACTTTTAGTGGTAATTTTTTTCATAAAACAGTTATATTTTACCAGTTTGCGAGGAGTGCTTGGGATGGGGCTTCATCCCGAAAGCTTCCTCCCTCCCCCGTTCCCTCCCGTAGATCCGCCCGTGCTTCTACCAACCCTTAATATGCTTTTCAATTTCGTTATTTCTAGCTATCGTAGATCCTAAATACCTAAACTTCTCTCTTGGTAAAAGATGTTTTGTCTTACCCGTATTTCGAGCCCTAGTTTTTTGCCGCCTTTCATCAACGTTATCGTGTTTAGTTTTATAGTTTGCCTGTCTTCGCTTAACTTGTCCAAACATCAGCATAACCCAGCACGGATATTGTTCCACCCAGTTTGAAACTTTTTCCGGTACGCATTACCTCCCTAAATGCATGTTCTAATGCTAAATTAAGGAGGACGTGTGAAAGGGAATCATCTTGTTTTAAATGTTAACGAACATTAAACTTTTGTGTTAAATAATTACCTATTCTAACATTATTGAATGTTTCTGTCATGCACATTCTAACTAGAAATACTAGTTTAATTTAGGAGAAAAGTATTGCGATTTAAGGCGTTATTACAAAAAATGTGCGATATGTTTTCATTACGTATCGGAGATTAATTTCATCTTCCATGTTTTTACTTGATCCCTAATCTCTCTGGTTATTGTATGGAGGATTTTATTCCCATAACTTTCGTGGAGTAACGAATAAAATAAAAGAAGTAATTCTTTCTGGGGTGCTGGTTAGTATGTAGGTCTCGTAGCCTTATATCGGAACCGTATTTAGCATAGTATTATACACTTTTTATTAGAGATTTATCGGTATTTCAGTAACTTTTAAATAGAGGAAATACCTCTTTTTGTGCTTGTTGAACGCTGATCTATTTGTGATAATTGTTTGAAGTTATTATGTAATCGATGTATTTGAAGTTCTCTACTCTTCTTTACTATTGGAGTGAAATTTTGGATATACTACCATATATTTACCCAACCACAGTAGAAGAAAAACGAGCATGCCAAAATATTATAAATATAAAAAAGTATAATATTTAATATATTTCAAATAGCTTGAAATATTTGGCTGACAAAATTGGAAAGCTGATATAGTATTTCTCTTTCCGAAACTCATGGCATGAAATTCATTTAGCCCAAATGGTGCTGTTTCACTTAGTTTTAAAAGTTGTCATTGCCTGCTGTGAAGTGAATTCAAAAGTGTTATTACTTTTCTGAAGAGCCCCTTCTTCTTTTTGCGTCTGAACAACTTACTCTTTTCAATGACTCCTACTTCCATATTGATATCAAATTAATCGAGTCTAGCTTCACAAGTAGTAATCAGATTCAAAAAATTTTCCCGCTTTCTGTAAAATTATAATTTATGTACTTTATATAACAATATTTTTTATCAAAAGTTATTTTTCTCAATTTTTCATTGCTGTGTGCTGTAATACCATATCTTCTTACCAATTTAACAGTTGGATGTTTTAAACATATTATACCCTGTTGAATATAAGATGAAAACATTGTTCTATGAACTTAATTTTTTTTCTTGTTAATTTCATTAGATAAATGGCTAAACTAAACTCAGATTGTATGGATTTAGAATCCATTGCTCTTCTGTCAACTGCCAAAATTCTTTCTGTTGATGACTTTCTTTCAGCAGATGTTGATAAAATTGTAATGAATTCCAAATTGACTGCAGAGGTTTGTTGATTTGTTGCAAACAGTTGTTATAGTTTCTGAAATTTAGATAATCATGTCATTATTCTATAGGAAGCTTTGCAGTTAAAACATACTTTGACCAACAAATATTCAAGTTCCCTGCTAGTGCTTGGGACCTATTCAGTATAGAAGATAATTTGTTCTTAAAAACTCATATTGAGGGGTTAGTTTTGTGATCATTTCATTATTGTGAAATGTCTTAATAAAGTACTATACTGTTTTGCCATTTTGATTTATTTGATCATTTTTATTTTTTAGACTTGATAAAATATTGTCTGGTGGAATTTTAAAGGGGTCCATTTTGGAACTTTGTGGCCCATCTGGATGTGGAAAAACTCAGATTTGTCATTCTTTAGCTGTGAACTGTGCTATTAGTTCTGTAATTGTGGATTTCATTGATACCAAAGGAGATTTTTCTGCTTCTCGGTGTAACATTTTGCTTCCAGATGGTTTGAAGGATGAGGTTTAGTTTCATTTTTAAATATACAATTATTTTTCACACTTACTATATATTACAAATCTCTTGGTTTCAAATTCAGATCTTTTTAAATAAAAAAAACTGTTATTTTTAACAGATCAAAACCTATTAATTTACTATCAGCAGAAAATGTTCATATATTATTTTTTACAGGTGTTTTTATCGGTAGGCCATATCTTCATTAATAATTCATCCAATCTAATGATTAAACCACAATTGAAAAATTATTTTCTCATTTAATGCCAAATAACAGATAAATTCAGAGAAAAATTTATGGAGACAATAAAACTTTATTTCGTGCACACCTCAAAAACAAAAACAATAAAATCAAAATGTAACCATTTTTAGCAATGGCAGCTTGTAATTTGTACACATTTTGGTTTATTATTTGCCAATATCTAATAGATAGTATAGGGAGACGAAATAATTACGTCAATAGCTTTCATTTTTTATTGTTGCTCAATATTTAGGATTATTACCCATTTTCAAAATCATTACAATATTTCAAATATATAAACCATGTTATAAATAATCAGTCTTTCAACATTATTATTTATATGAATCATATGACAATATTTATGATACTTTAAACTTAAAGAAATAGTGAATTAAAAGGTGAACATAATGAGTATTGGAATAAGATTGTAGAAGGACATAGGCCTGTTTTATTTGAGATAAATTTTGTGTTGTTAATTAAAGTATTAAACTGAATAATGTTATTTTTTAAATATAAATCTTTATGTATTATTTCTCAAAGGTGTTTATTTGTCGGTGTGCTATGTGTTTGTCAATTCTTTATCAAATCCAATGACTGAGTCCTTATAGAAGAGAAGACTAATTGAGGGGTGGTTATTAAAAAAAAAATTGTAAAAATAAATAATTATATCTATTTAGCCTACGTTTCAACCAAAAGTCCAGGCCTTCATCTGGGCTGGTCAAGTGAAGAGTTGCCACAAGACACTGTGACCAGCCCTGATGAAGGCCTGAACTATAATTATTTATTTTTTATAATTTTTTTTACTGTTCACCCCAACCATTCTTCTCTTCAATTATTCACTACAGTCAACCACCAATCCAAAATTATTCATTATTTTGTTGATTGCACCCATGATTATTTGAAAGATTATTAAATCCTCTACTAACTCTGACGATGCTATGGTCCATGAAGGACCTTGGTCTCATCAACAGTTCTCTACTCTGAGCGATCCTCTGCAGCTCTTTCACATTCTGTCACCCTTAGGCGCAAATCAGCCTCGACATCTTCCAACCAATCCAGTGTGGGTCTCTTCCTTTGTTACCATACATCACTACTAGTCGGAGGACTGCCATATTTATCCATTATATTCTTGTTTTGATTTCTCAGGATACATTTAAATTTAGAAGAATTTTCCTGAGTGCCTGAAAACATTTGTTGCCATTTTGGATTCTGGCTTTATCTCTTCTATTTTATTATTTTCCATATCCATTTTATAAACATATAATAGGCAATCTCAAAGCTGGAGCTTCAGAAGAGCAAGGAGCACACTATAGCAGATCTTAAACCCAAAACGTGTGCTATGATTCTGTGAACAACAGCTGTCTTTGGAAAATTATGATTGAACTAGCAGCTCTCAAGAAACTGGTAAGAATGATGAAGGCATATACAAATTACATAAATGCTGAATTGTGGTACGTAGAGAAGTATCTGAAGCCTTTAAAGTTTGAACTGTTTTGCTGTCGTGAGATAGTCTTTTGCTGATCTACAATTTAGCTGTGGAAAACAGAACATCTCATGAAAACGGTGGGTTAGACATTGGAATGAATCATGAAATTCTTGAATATGCAGATGATACAGCTGTCTTTGTAAGCAATCAAGAGGATATTGATTGACTCCTTAAAACTCTGGTTAGAGAGGTAGATCAAATCGGTCTACAACAAAAATTATTTTTTTGGTTATGAACTCATATACTATGAGAATTATTTATCCGGACCAACTAGTTTGGATTATATTAGGCCTAACTTATGGGAAACCGTCTAAACTAGTATTTTTCTAGGTCAAAAACAAAAAAGAAATGTTTGATTCTTTATAAATAATATATTTTTTTTTTAATTTTACAAAAGGCACTTTCCAACCTTTTGCTTAGTAGTAATTTCCTCTCCTCCAGTTGAAAGTTGGATAAACTAACATGTAGTTCTCTACCAAGCCTGTCATAGAAAAGGTTCCTATGTTTACTACAGCAACCATGACAAAACAATTTCTCAAAATTGCAGCACTAAAAATATAAGTAAAACTTAAATGTTCCAGCTTGATTTACATAATCCTATTGCTATTAAAGAAATAATCTACCAACTGCTTATTTCAAAAATTATTTTAATAATTCATTTCATATGGGAAAAAAAAGCACACTAGGTATTTATATGAAGGGCGCCAATGTACAAACACAAACACAAGATGTGTTCTCCTAAATTAATAATTTATGCTTTGAAATATAACATATTCAATGGATATTGAATTGTTTAAGATATTCAAAATAAAAGCCTATCTTTTTTTTTTATAGGAAATGGATGATATTCTTGATCGTATTAAGGTATATTCCACACGAAATATTTATGAACTAATATCTGTTTTGGAAAAAATCCATATTAATTTAAAAAGAGATAATGAAAGAAAGGATAAACTTCTTGTCATAGATTCTATAACTCTTCCTTATCTTCCATTTATCGGTGTTCCTTCAAGTAAGGGTATGTATTTAAAACTTCATTTTTCAATAACTTTTTAACACTGTTAAATCCACATTAAAGAAAAAACGCTTTATCTCATAACTTTTTTGTTAATTAAACCTAGCTGGTGGCCTTCTTAGCATTGATATCTATTTATTTTAGAAAAAGAATTTATTGATGATATTAGGTGTTATAAAAATAGTTACTTGAACATAAATTATCTTCATAATTTAATCTAATCATTAAGTAATAACTATAATGTCAGTGTTAATCCGATTTATGTTAAATTTACTGCAACATAGTGTTGCAGGGGGTCCGGTTTAACTGCCAGGTTTTTTTCCAGTTAAGGATACCCACTATACTGGGTGAGCCGCAAGAGGGTCTACCTGACCCCCAAGTTGATCCATGGCTGATTAAATAATATCAATACTTATCTGCCTCAGCTACACTCTAAGATAGGCATAGGAGTTAGGAGTCTTCTGCCTTACCCACTGTATACTGATATATGTCCTAACTTCTTTTCTAACGCTTATTCCTGAATTAGCTCAATATACGATTTTCTCCTCTAATTTTTGTTAGATAACTCATTTCTGAAAGAAGTTCTTGTTTTTTAAACTTAGTAGTCTATTAAAGGTTTTGGTTCAAGTAAGAATGAATCAAGGTCTTATTAAGCCTTATTTGATTTTTTTGAGTACTACTACTATTCATCTTTTAACATAATAAAAAAATCTTTCCTAGCTAATACGCTTCATATTTTAATTTTTTTTATCTGACTTATTTCCCCTAGCTGTTAATTCATTTTTTGTTAATTTATTCCAATGGATGATTTAACTTCCTATTATTGTCATATTCGTACAAATATTTGCTTTTCCTCAAAGTTTATATTCTATTTCATCACATAAGTACTAATCATTAAAGTTAAGAATTTAATTAAATACCATACCATGAATTGAAATTCATACTGATGTTTTCAACATACATTTTTTTATATCAGGTATCAGCATTATTAATTACATTGCTTCCATTTTAAAGCAAATGGCAACGGAATATAATATTGTTGTTGTGGTTACAAACCTTGGAGTTATATTTAATGAAAATGAAGAAGAGCAAGTTGGGGCTAATATTCAGGAAGTCAAACCATTAATGGGTAAATATTGGCAACATATTCCAAATACTAGGATGGTAATTACTCGTGATGCAGATACTGTTGAAAGAACGGTAATTATACAAAAAAGTGATTACTTAGCAGTAAATACAAGTACGACTATAACTATATCTAGAACTGGTGTTTCATGAATAAATAATTTATTAGAAAATGTATTATTTATTAAATTTCTTTTTACAAGAAAAAAATCTCAGAAATGTAGAATACTTTAGATTACATTTTTATTTTTTAAAAACAGTAAATAATCAAATACATTTAAACATACAAATAACAAAAGTTATGACATTTATCTTACATAATTAAGTATATTATTACAACAAACAAAATTACAGCCATTAAAGAGAGCTATAAAATCTTAGCAATAACCAATTACATCACAACAAATCGTAAAAATATAGGATATTTTTTATTAAATTTCCATTTAATAAAAAAAATTAAACAATTAAATATATTTAAGCACATGGAATAACAAAAGTTATGACATTTATCTACATCTACATACAAGTATATTATCATGTTGTAATTACAGGCTCAAAGTGAGCTTTAAAATATCAATAATTAATATTACTCATCAATAACTAGGCGTTATTGAAGAATATTTTATTAAACAATTATTTGAGAAAGTCCACGATTAAAACACAAAAACATTCCAATTATTATACATTATATACATTAACAAATAGGTCAATTGGCACATTAAATAAGCTACTGCATGTCAGTAATACGCTTAATGACTATTATTATAACAAAATCAATTAATAAAATATGATATTATATTTATAACTTATTTACTAATTATATCACAGATCAATATAATTGAACACATTACATTGCACCCATCTCTGGAATAGGAACTACCAATTTGTACTAACAGATTAACGTGCACAACATTATCAAAGGTCAGTTCACACTATTTCTGTTTGCATTATTTATAATTGCAATGGTATCATCTATTCGCTGGATAAGCCTTTCATCCTAAAACATAATATATATATATATATATATTGGAACTGAGTCTTGTTAGAATAACATACAAATACAAAAAAAGAACATAACTGTATCAAGACTAAATTAATTAATATAATTAACTCTAAACACATATAAGATTAAAAAATAAATATATACAACAAAAGTTAATATCATATTATTAAAAGTAGAGTTATTAGTGATTTAAAGAAAGAAAATGAGAATAAATAAATAAAAAATAATTATTTTTATTTTCTATACTAAAAATGAAATTTCATTATAAGAGATCATTGGTTTGGAATGTAGTAATGTGTTGGAAAAGGAAGGATTTGAATAAGGAAAAAGAAAAAGAATTCCAAATGGTAGGAGAGCGCACTAGAAAAGAACATTAAAATATTCTTTTCTGTCAAAAGGAATATAGTGACAGATTGTTAATGAAGGAGTGGTGTGAGTTTTTGGTCGGATATAGATGAGCTCTAAAAAATATCGTAAAACTAAATGAGTGGCGGCCTCATGGCATGGGGAGCCGGCCGATCTTCAGGGGTGTTTGCCACTTGATTGAAATTTTTTAAAAATACAAAACGTATTAAAATAATTGATTTTAGACTATTAATAAAGCAACTGTATTAGAGAAATGTTGAATGGAATAAAATTCAAATATTACATAATATAAAGCAGCCTAACACTAGAAAGGTCGCACCGGATCTGAGAGATCTGCTGAGCGGTCTTTTTGATATGATTATATACCTGTTGGGAGTAATGGACTCTTCCTCCAGCTATTATCCTGGCTCTTGGAATTATAAAGACTGTAATATAAGAGCGACCTGTGTTACATTCAATTTTAAATAACTAAAAGTTAGGTTGGATCTGTGAGTGACCTAAATGTATTTTCTACTTGCCGTATTTAATTTTTGTTTATTTTAATATCATATATTGTGTTTGTTTATTGTTTTGTGCAATCGTTTTTACTGTCACTTTATTTGTTATTTTGTTATTTGTTATAAAATATAGGCATTGAATCTCTCAAATCTAATGCGACCTTCTACGTTCTATTTTGTTTCCCTTCTTTTTCTCTGAACTTACAATCCAAATTAACTTCTTTCACGTATTAATTCCCCATGTATTGGACAGACGAAAAGGTGTAAAAAAAAAAATTTGACTTAATTAACACTGAAGATGGTTTCTAATGTTATAAATCATCTTGATTTTTGTATTAATTATTTCTTAATCTAATTTAATTCTTATATAATTGTTCCTAGTGTTCAATGATTTCGGTGTGTTGCATTTAATGGTATACAGAATGTAGTGTTCAAGTTCCTAATTTTTTCAATGTATAAATTTAATGTTCAATTCATTTTTCATAGGAATTTTAATATATTTTTTAAAAATTATGTAACTGAGTTTTTTATTCAATAAATATTTTAAAAACACATTATATCTTTTTTTTTTCAGAACAATGTGAAATTTGTTGGTATTAAATTGATTTAGTGAAGTGGATCTGACAGATCGGTAGCGACCTTACATGTGACTCTAAGGCTAGAGACCCCCGGAGTGTGAAGAAATAAATTCAATTTTTTAGGGAAGGGGAGGAAGATGGCGTCATTGCCAGGGGGTGCCGAATGTCTTAAGCCGGCTACTGAACTATATTATTATATCATATTATAATCATGAACTATGCGTAGGCGGGGTGGCCGAAACGGGCTAACGTGTGTGCACAGCACCGCCATTGCCTGGCAACCTGATATATGATACAATGATAAAATATAGTCACGAGTTCACGTCCCGGTGCTGGGGGCCTCTTTTAAATCCCTGCCTACACTCCCTGGCCTGGGAAAACCCTGTATAGCCTTAAAGGCAAGGAAGGGAAGAACCCCCTCCCCCAAAAAAATCATGAACTATTAATGGTGGGATGCCCAAAAGCACCCTGAGAGATTGGAGATAAATCTTAACCTTTTCGCTACAGCAAGTGACGAGTTATGCCTACCAGAGTGCTAAGTAAGACAGGCTAGCCACCTACAGGACCATGATACATACTTTTTACCTGCTTACCACACTTTGGGCTGTTGACCGACAATGGGAGAGTTATATTTTTTTTTTATTAATTTAAATATTTATTTAATAATTTAATTTTGTATGATATTCTTCAAAGAATTTTTCAATACAAACAGAAACCTTACAAATGATACATTGTACTACCTTGGTTTCATGCCAAATATTTTTTTATATTATATTTCTTTTGATAGTAGTAATGAATTCAGCAGCCTCCACAGCAGTAAATCATTGTTTCTCCATTTTAAAGAAAATGTCAAAGCAAAAAAAAATCTATACAGCCACGTTACTAACTAAACTAAATAACATTTTTATAAATTCAGAGCAGTTGAACACACACTTTTTTCACACAGAATGTAAAAACAAGAATGAAAATGTTGAGACAGCCAGGTAGTGAAGTCACCCATAATGGTTCATGAGTTCTACTAGAAAAGCTCCAAAATAAACCCACACGCCATCTATAGGCTCTAGTTAGGAGATTTATTTCATTAGGAAACCAGTAGAATGTAGCAAGGTCAGTGTGGCATACTTGACATTAGCAAATTGAAAGAAAAGCAGTGGGATGGCTATAGCCGACATTAGCAACAGGGGCCCGTTCTGTTGGGTCGACTATAGGCGTCGTTAGCAGTTAAAAGGTTAAAAAACAGTTCATGATTCATTTCAATCTGTTCTTGAGTATAATTAAGAGGCTACTGTATATCACAGCTATTCTCGAAATGAGGGAAAACAAATTAAGTGAGGAACCTATCTTTAGGTTGTGGAAAAGTATGGTGGCAACAATGGAATAACTATTGATATTCACATCCTATTTTTATGTCTTATTATTACAGTTCTGTACTTACACGTATAAAAAATTAAAAAACAAAACAAAATAATAATTAAACATTAATAATATAAATATTCTAATCTATATGAGTTACCTTTAGCCAAGGATGGTTAAGTATAGAAGAAATGCATAATCTTTTCAGAGGATCGATTACTAATATTTTCCGAACTAAATTCTTTGCGTGTTTAGAAATTAAATGCCAACCAGAAGGAGTCATTTCATATTTTCCAACTACTATTTTAATTGTCAGCGTATTTTTATCACCAACAAATGGATGTTCTCCACTTAAGCTACAAACATAGAATAAAAATGTTACAAAACCTGTCGTCAATTATATAAATATATATATCATTATACAAGATATTAAAATTAAAGAACATAACATTATACATAAAGGAATTTACAAATAAAGGCTAACCTCAAAAAGTAAAAAAAAAATGTAACATATATATATATATATACAGGGTATCCCGTAAGTAGAGGGAAATATAAAAATAATTGTTTCTATTCATATTAAATGTATCTAGTTAGACAGTTAATCTATACTGAAAGCTAGCTTGGATGCAAATATCAGAAATCCTGATTAAAGTACTTGAGGAGCCATTGTAATATGCAAAGAGAGCTGGTAGACCAAAATAGATGGATAGATAGTTTGGCAGCTAACACAAGAGACCTGCTGGAATTCAGAATTGGAAAGCAGTCGCACAGAACAGATCTAAATGAGTGAAGCTCATTGAGTGTTGTACAACCAATAAGACAAATAGATAAAAAGTTATAATGATAATAATAATATCTAATTCTCATTCTGGAAAATATTAATTAAGAGAGAGAATAACTTACCAATAAAAAAGCATTATACCAAAACTCCATATGTCTACTTTATTGGTATAGGTCGGAGCGTAACGTGCTAATATTTCTGGTGCCATGTATTTCATAGTTCCACAAATACTTTTCAATTCAGTTTTAGAATCGATTACTTTAGATAAACCAAAATCAGTTATTTTTACAATAATGTAGTCACCAGTTCCTTGAGTATTCACTAGAACATTTTCAGGCTAGAAATATAACAAGTAATAACATAAAAAAACAATGAAAATTACAGCAGTAGTTAGGTTAGTATCAATGTTATTAATTGTGAATCAATACCTTTAGATCTCTGTGGGTAATACCTTCTTCATGTAAATACTGAATTCCTAAAATAAGCTGATAAAATATAAGTTTACATTCAGGTTCAGGTATTTTTCTTAAATTTTTAATTCTCGATAATAAGTTACCACCAGGCATGTATTCTAGTGTTATAAATACTGCTTCAGGACTATCAAATACATTTTCGACATTAACTATAAAGGGCTGAAAAAAAAAAATATAACAATAATATAAAAATAAAATATAACAAATAGACTGAAAATAATTATATAATTTTACTGTCAAACCATGCAAAAGTTGATAAGTCATTTGTGGTATTAATGAAGGAAAGTTGTTTACTAGCTAGTTCTAAATTCCCTCTTCACCAGGGTTGGCTTTACGTTTTCTGGTGAACAAACTAAAATAACTTTGAACTGTTGTACATATTTCAAATTTTGCACTCCAACTCTGAATCAAACTAAGGAAACCCTTAGAGTATAACCAAACCATACCATTGCTACTATTCGATGATGCATATAATAAAAGAAAACTTTTATGTTAAAAAAAAAATTAATTTACTGGTATAGAAAAAAATCTAAAGTATGGTTAATGAAAAAAAAAAACAATAAGTTTCGAAGATCTTAATAAATTTCTGTTTATAAGTAAGACATGAAAAATGTTCTGTCATCGTCTCTTTGTTTTCTTCAATTACACCAAGCCATTTTTTGAATTAAACTTCAAAGTAATGAAAAGTGAATTTCAGAGAAAACTGTAAGCAGTAGTAACCATAGTGAAATAAGGTTTTCTAAATCAAAACTGAATGTCAGAAAGTTTTATGGTCGCCAAGATAAAACATTTCAAAATTTTTATATGACTCAGTTAATAAATTATTTCATTGAACTCATTGTTTAAATCACTCCACAGTAATCCTAAATATTACATTTAAAGTAAAAAAGAAAGTACAATAAGCTTTTAATAGTGCAAGATATATTTTTTTCTGTTGGCATTACAGACCATATAGATCTTTTGCCGCCTTAACAAGCCTACTCCATCTCTGCCTCTCTTGCGCTGTTTCTTTCTACTTATCTGCATGTATCTCTATTGCATCTTTGTTGAGTTTATCTTTCCATCTGCATTTTGGCCTTCCATGTAGTCTTTTGCCTTCTATTGAGGAATTTATTATAATGTAGAGGCTTCCAGATGGATTGCTATGAAATATATGCCCGCTTAGTCGTCCTAAGATCTTAACTTCCGTGCCTTTATATCATGGGATGTTGATTGAACAGTTTCTGTAAGCAGTTCTTTATTGGTCTTTCCTCTCCATGTGTTAGTACTCTGATCCCAGATTGCTCCGGTTATTGTGCAGAGAATTTTTCTCTCAAATCTGTCAACACTTTTTTCTATGGTGCTGAATAGTGTTCAGGTCTCATAGTCATATATTAGAACTGGTTTTATCATAGCATTGCACACCATTAATTTGAGATTTCTTGGGATTTTTCGTGATTTCAGTACCTTTGAAAAGGAGAAGTAAGCACTAGTTATATGCTGGTCTATGTCTGCCCATTAATCATTCATTGAGGTTATTGTGGAGCTGAGGTATTTGAATTTTTCTACTCTTGGAACTGATTTTCCTTCTACACAGATCCTGTTATTGGGGTGGAATTTTCGGCTTATCATATATTTACTTATAGGTCAGTCTGCTCTGCTATTCTTATCAGAGTCTTAACGAGTTCCTCAATATCTCTTGATTACTTCCAAGGACAGTTATATCATCTGCGTATCCAAGGATTTTATGATTCATTCCGATGTGGACACTTCCATTTCTCTGAGATATTGTTCTTATTACCTTCTCCAGGGCTAAGTAGAACAACATAGGTGATAGTTTATCTCTGTGCCGCAAATCCGTTTGAACTTTGAATGCTTCAGAAACTTCTTCTTGTATTAGGACTTCTACATTTAGGGTCATTTTTAAACGCCTTTGTCAATCTCACCAACTTACCGGGAAATCCCAATTCAGCCATGATTTTCCAAAGAAAGCTTCTGTCCACAGAATCATAGGCTCCATTGAAATCGACAAATAGGGCGTGTACGTCCTGAGCTACTTCCCATGGCTTTTTTTGTACTTCTTTTAGGATGAAGATCTGGTTTAGTGTGCTTCTCTCTTTTCTGAATCTAGCTTGGTGGTCGCCTATTATATTTTTGTAAGATATTAAAACAAAATCTAATAAAACCTAGTTTAGTTAAAAGTTTTATTAATTATATACCATCAATTAAATGACTCAAGATCAAGCCTGACTAATGGAATATGTTTACATAAATTGTTATAAAAATTTAGTATTTATTTTACCACGCCTCCAACCAACTACTTCTCATAAATTGATATACTTTTGTGAGCTAAACAACACTGAAGGTTAATTTTATATTGACATTGACATTAATTTTATTTCTCATCTAATAGCTTGCACAGATTAACTCAGTTCATTTTAATAAAATTGGAAAGTAACTTACATGATTTAATCTTTTAAGAATATACACTTCATTATAAATTTTACACTCGGGCACATCATGCTTTGAAATTTTCTTCATAGCATATCTTCTATATGTTTGCTGGAAAAAAAAAAAAAAATGAATGTAAAGGACTCATTCACAAAAATTTAATTTTTTTTCAAAATAACAATAAATTAAAAGTAATGATTGATGGCTATAACTACTGATAATAATGGGTTTTGAACTTTTTTATGTATAACTCAATGTAAATACTAGAGGATGTGCTGAGTTATTAATAATATGTGGTTTACAAGTTCTTCCACAGACTTTCTGGTCAAACCTCATGTCTAGAAAGAATATAATGCCAAATACCATGGAACAAACAATCTGATATTTCAGAAAAAGTTACTGGGGTTGCTGTCAAAAATATATTATTATATAATATAGCATTTTTTGACCGCACCCCCAACTAACTTCTTCTGAAATTGAATCCACGGTCAACCATCTCCATACCAAAACAATCTGATAATTTATTTTACTCAAATTTCTATATAATTCAATTTATTACACTTTCATAGAGAGGTGGCAAATGATCCTCCAATCAATTAATCTACACACTTTAAACAAATAATTTTTTTTTTTTCAATGCTTTTATATAATGATGGTTTAATTTTCAAATTCATAATCTTAAATAATAAATCTCATCCTTTAGCCTAATGAGTATTAAAACATTAAAAAAAAATCTCTTGAAACCATATTAACTAGCCAGTGATATACTAACGAGTAGACAAAATTAGTTCATTCTTAAGTATAAATTTTAAATAAAACTAAAAGAATAAAATAACCTATATCAAACTATTATATTGATACAGGTAATCAATTACTATTTGATTTTACTCTTAATTGCTATTCACAATATCCTACTAATGCATTCAGTTGCAACCGAAATAGTTATTAATCTTCCTCCATTGTTCTGATCAGACAGTAGCGATTCTAAATTTGAACACTGTTGCAGGTTTTTTTAAAAATATAACGCACCATCGCCATTTCGACATTTACTATCTTCAAAAACCAAGGAATGTAAAATAGTTATGTTTTTCCTGGTTGATCAACATTCAATTTTCCTCAGATGTCACGGGATTTTTTAATATAGCCCATGTTCTAAAAATTCATTATTGGCAAAGTATAAGTAGCAATTTGCTAGTTACCATATCTACATTTGAAGAGTGTAGCAATTCTAGCCCAACCCAGTGCCATGCTAGGCAGAAAACATGTGTCACTTTCTAGATATCCATCACGTAAACAACTCGTAGAAATTTTTGGTATCTACGATGAAAAAAATTATGGATTACCTGATCAAGAACAAGCCTAACATCTCCAAATGCTCCACTGCCTAAATGCTTCAAAATGCAGAATTTTGATTCCAAGCTTTCGTGTAACCAATCATTTTGGTTGTTATTGTTGTTATCAATGTACAGATACACTGAAAAAGAAAATGAACGATTTTTGAAAAATGTTTATAATGTAAGGATATATTTTTAGTTGATTTAAACTGAAATAATGTAACATATTTGACTTAAAATTCATCATATTAAAAGTCATTTAATATAAAGTTAAATCAACCTAAGGAATTTAATTATTAAATAATTTTGGTCTTTTATAAATAATTGAAATATAAATTAAATTCATGCAATATTTTTAAATGGTGGTTTCATGAAAGTTTGCATGAGATAAATTATCATTAGTTATTAAAGCCCAAAATTCTTCGTTCATAAATTTGTCGTTGATGCTTGATATATATTAATATTTAAGAGAAAAAAAAAGAAAACCAATCAAGTTTCAAGACAATTAAGGGTTATATGTTTTTACAAGCATATACAATCCATTAAATTTGCCATAAAATCATTAATTCTCCTATAAAACAAAATATACCATACTTACTTTTAAAACTTGGAGCTGCTAAAGATATTTCAGCTGTATGATGCAACAAAATCCTCTCATTTTTTCCAACTTTTTTATTGTTCACATAAGTTCCATTTAAACTAAGATCTTCTAGAAAAACAAGATGTTGATCTTCAAATGTATCCCGATAAAGTCTGCAATGTATTTTACTAATTTTTGTACATAGTTCTGTACCTACATCATTTTCAGTAACAGGCAGTTCACAACTTGGTGCTCGCCCAATTCTATAGCATTCAGCAGTCAGAACTGTAACATGATAAAAATGCAAAGCTTATATTTTTAAAAAATGCTACTTCGATTTGGTTCAAAGTTAGAGAGATTTGAGGCTTAGAGAATTTCTATACTATGAACAATAATCATGAAGATGAACATTATATATTTTCATTGAGTAAATTGTGTATACATTTAACCATTAATAACTTTAATTTACAAGCAATAATTCAAATATCCAATATATAAAATGATAAAAAAAAAAAAAAAAAAAACATTCACCTACTTATTAATTCCTGTCTACCTATTGCATTTCAAGAACATGGCTTTTGGATAGTTCCATAGGTAACCAGAAGGGGATTTCATGGCGCAGGTTGCACCATCAAAATATTGGAGGAGAGCACATTTTGACGGGGTTTCAGATTTTCTAGGTTTTGCGTTCTAATGTTCAAGCGAGCTCTCGTATCCTTTAAGTTGCTTCATTACAACTATTCTCTGTTACAATCTCTTATTTCTCCTTTAGTTAATACACAAATTCTTTAATATTTTATATTAGAGATCAATGTGAAAAGGTTAATTGTTTCAAATAAAAAAAATTAGAAGTACTTTAAAGGAAGCTAATGTTGAAAATTAGCCATTTAAGCTGTTAGAGAACATCAATGAGAATAAAACCTACCTAATATTAAAAACTGCTTAATTTTATACTGATATAATGAATTTTTTCAAAGTCGTTGGAGCCGTTTTCGAGAAAATAGCGATATAAAATATCACTTCTGGTTAGCAGATTTTGACAAAAAAAAGTTGCTGTAACATCTTAGGTATATACAAACCTTAAATATGCAATTTCACTTTCATACCCTTTTTCGTTTTTGAGCTAGACCGCCACATAAATACACACAGATACAAAGACCATTTTGCGGGACTTGGTTAGTTGGAATCAGGAGACCTCAAAACATGTATTTCTGTTGAAAACTCAGATTAGAAAATTTTCACGATCACAATGCTGTCCCTTACTATATATTTCATATATAGGTAAGTGAAAGTAAAAATAAATAGTTCAATGCCATGCACAATGTAAGAATCAGACTAGTAAATTTGGAGAAAACAAAAGGCAATCAGATATAAGAATTATAAACCAAAATTCAATGCTGGGTAGCTAAAATTTCTACAGTTGAATAGTTCTATTGCCTTTAGATTGGTAACAAATTCCAGAACTAAACATAACTCAAAGCACATTTTTAAAATCTAACAGAATAGTTAAGATACAGGATTGGGTCATTATTGTAAGGGGCATCATCAGAGAAGGATCAAAATGAAATGTGTAAAGGCCCAGAAAGTTCATTTTTCTCAAAATGAGACTTCATGAATATAATACATAGAAGTAAGCAAGGAATAATCATTATATTTAAGTCTTTTGAATATAAAGGGTTAAATTTCAAGGAATAAAGGTTCAAAAATTGAGTTAAAAGATAAAGACTGAGTTGTAATCTTAACTACTGATTGAATCTCTCTTGGAAACTAATTGAGACAACACAGTGAAGAGTCCTCTCATAATTTCAATAGCCAGCCTTCCTTTGATAATTACTGACTTTATATTTTGGATTTATGACAATAACTACAAATTTCAACCTCCATCACAAATGTCAAATTTCAAGGAATAAGAACTACAACTTTAGATAGATATAAATCAGTCCGCTAATGATTACTTATAAATGATTTAAGTTGCCTTAAATATATGAATATTTTATACCTTAACAATATGTATTGTTAAAATGGAAAATTTCTAACAAATAGGGGCACAAACCTCTCATATTTTGACCCTGATCAGTAATCTGAATTAACTTTCCCCAATAAGGTTCTTCACTAGACGTCTCGACATTTTCTTCAGTAGGTGCAGTGTCAGGAAGGTCTGGAGAACATTCATTGAAGTTGTCATAAGCCATTTTAATTGAGCGCGGAAGAAAATACAACAGGTGTCACCGCAGAGACCTTCCTTCTTTCATGGAGTTGATCTAAGTTCTGCAATCGATATTTATATTATATATAAATCGATATTTTTTCGATAACAATTCTTGTTATCGAAAACAATCCGAAACATTAGTATCGGAAAGATTTACTGTGGGGCTTAAGGGCAACGGTTTTTAATTGTAAATAAATATATATTTTTAACTTATAAATATATACTTTTTTTTTCATCTCAGAGCTATTTAAAAGAAAATTCGTTAGCCACTCTACTTGCTGTGTATGACCATTAGAAACATAAGGTGAAGAAAGATTGATACTTAAAAAAAAAATGACATCGCTCTGCTAGACAGATTTTAAAGAGTTATTATGAGGAAATTTTATAGTATCCCTAAGTAAGAAAAGAAGGAAGTATCTTATCGTTTATAAAAAAATGACTCTACCATGTTATGAGGATTCATGAAGAAATAAGAATAAGGGGCGAGCAGGTTGTATATGAATGTCTCGGATGATGGGTTGCCTTAAGATACGAAATAGGGAATATTTGACAGTTGAGGATCTCTGTTGTCCTTGCAAGAGGTAGAGTGAAAGGTTTTGAATGTTGAATAATAGCATCTTTATACCTCCTATTGGTTCCGAAAGAAGATTAAAATTTACCAAAATATTAATATGAGGAGTTGGTCGGGGGTGCTATTTAAAAAATAAAGGAACTATCAATTGGCATCTATCTAGTGCAGGCTAAACGATAAAAAATATTGAAGAACATATAAGATACCATAAGCAATGTAGTGAGTTATAGTATCGTTAGAACACAATGGACTATGCAAAAAATAAAAGCGATTATAGTATTTAAGTTAAAAGTAAACAGTTGATATTTCATTCCTTTTTATCACAACTTTGTTTACATTTTAACTTATATGGTAAATTCACTTTTACTTCGTGTCCCCCAAATCCCGATTAGTCTTCTAATAACGTCCACTCACTTCTCCTCATGGAAAATTTAATTTATTTCTTAAGCTGTTTTATTTTAAGTAATATTTAAATTTTATTCCATTCAATATGTCTCTAATTCAATTGCTTTATGATAGCATAAAATTAGAGCATCTTCTTCGTTAAAATAGAAATACTGGAGGTGCCATTTTATATCATCAATTATACACTTTTTTTACTTTTCTCGAAAATGGTCCTAACGATTTTGGTTAAACTCGTTATATTAGTGCACAATTAAATGCTGTTTATTATCAGCTAGTTTTATCCTTATTGAAAATGTTCAAAATAGCTTCCTTCATAGTACTTTTAATTTAGTTTGTTTGAAATAATTAATGTTCTCCCCAGGGGTGTCCATCCCCCCCCCTAAGGTGAATAGCTCAAAAACCTACCCTCCTCTCCTCCCAAAAAATTGTATTGCTCATTTTCTCCAAACAAAGCAAGGAAAAGTAGAAACAGAAAAATCATAGATCATACACAATTACACTTGCTACGATCTGTTCCATGTTTTCTCCTTGTCCCTTATTCTGAAACTTTTCATTCCGAAAATTTTCAGAACAAAATCCTGGCAATATGTTTGAGTGAGGTGGGGGGGGGGGAGAGTTGATTTTTTTATTTTACTTTTTTTAGGGGAGGAGATTTAACTCCTCCAAATTATTTTTTAAAGATAAAATGGCAATATGTTTGGGTAGGTGAGTGATACTTTTATATAAAACTAGCTAATGTACCCCGCCGATGACGGTGTATAGTTAAAATTTGAGAATCTTTTTTCGAGATGATTTTTGTATTAGGGGGAGGAGGGTCCAAATTCAATTTCATAAAATTGGGTCGGGATGAGAGAGGGAGCTTTGTTTTGAAATTTTTTATGGCGGGGCTTATGGAAGTCAAGTTTCGCAATAGTCATAACAAAAACTTTGTTATTCGGCTATTTGTTTAGGTACCACACAACTAAATCGACCACCACCGATCCATTAAAATTTGTTAAGTGTTAATTTTCATTTATGATGAAGCAAGGAGATTGTGGAGTTGATTAATTAATCAAAGAGAATTGTAGTCTCGCCACTTCTTTAAACTCTCCTGAGTTTATCGCTGACAAAATAGCCAAAATAACATTGGACATTGAATCACCCACATCCGTGTAAAATTATAACTTGATCTGAATATTGTGGCGGGTGGTGTGAATTTTTTGGATTTCCCCCCCCTAATTTCCGGCTAATCCGTTTGGTTAATCCTAAAAATGTATTCAACAATATTTGTTAGGCTCGGGCAAAGTTGAAAAATGAGTGTGTTTTATGTGACAATGCGTTACAGATGTTCGGTATTCCGGATTTTTCCCGTTGAGTTGTGATAATTTCTTCCATCTGTTGAGTAGTACAACTTTTAAATGTGGTTCGCGGTAGTTTAGGCTGGAATTAGAATCGAAGTAACTACCTAAACGGTATCTCTAAGCAAATTATCAAGAATTCATAACTTTGATTCTACTCAATATTTTGTTTTCATTTAAAGCCTATATTTTAAGTCAAGCAAACCTAAATGCAATGTCAAAATTTTAATAGTCTGTCATTAAGCATTGCCGAGCTTACCCCTGACAAAATTTCGTTGGACAATGCGAACACCCAGACAACAATTTTTTTCAACATATATCATTCAACAATATATCATGAAACGGGTTGATTCTATTCAATATACAGACGAAATCTTTATTTTATTTATATAGATGTTCTTTAACCTATAAACATATGTTTATTATTAACACTTATTATCAACATTAACCGAGATCTCTAGTCAAATTACTCAAGAATTCATAACTTTGGTTATACTCAATATTTTGTTTTCATTTAAAGTCTAATTAAAATTTCAAAAGTCTACAATAAGCCATTGATGAGCTTACCTTTGACAAAATTTCGTTGCAATGCGGACATACAGACAGACAAATATTTTTAAAAATTGGATTTGATATCTGCAATGTATGAAACGGAAAGATGTCATAAAACGGGTTGATTCTATTCAATATACAGACAAAATCTTTATTTTATTTATATAGATTTAATAACAATTTTTTTTTTATTACTAAACTTTCTTTTAAATATTAAATAATTAGGAAAAAAGAACAGAACCAATTTGAAACAAGAAACTTTTTAATGTATAGAAAAAACATTATAATAAACATTACAAAGAACACATTTTTTTTTTAATGCTAAAGCCAAGGCAATTAAAGTAATAAGAAAATCATTATTATCCATTTTCACAAAAAGGAAAGATTACCTCATTGACCTTGTTTAGTCGAAGCAAGATTTTAATTGATATAATATTGACCCGTGTGAGGTACCTCTTCAATATATTACCTTCAATTATATTGCTTCAATAATATTGACTGTATAAGGGACTCTTTAAGCCCACCTTACAAGGTGGGCTTTAGGGCTACGGAATCCAGAGGCACGCCTGAGAGCTCATCAGGGGAGGAGCGTCAGCTTGTTTAGAATTATAGAATATTATAAAGCGTGTGATTAGTAAAATAATCCTAGCCTATTAATATATCAACTGAATTAGAGATAAATAGAATTAAAAACGATACAATTTTTCACCAGACGGATTTCCATGTCTTATAATGTTTTGTATTTTTGATTGTTAAATTCATAATATAATTAATAAAACATTATTAAGAATAATTAGATACGACTCAAATATTAAGTAATATAAAACAGTTTAAAAAATAAATTTGATTTTTTTTTGAGAGAGATGACGTCATTGCTGCATGTATGCTCCAAATGTCTAGAGGTGTTTACATTATTTTAAATTAAGCTCTGCCCACTTAAAACTGGCTTTCAAATACTTTTGACCCTGTATTTATAATTATAATATATTCTTAAAAAGCTCAAGATTTTAGAAGAAATCGTCTTATTAGAAAGTCGTAGAAGGTAGTAGAGAGTGAAGAAAGCTAATAATTACTAAATTATTTTTATATCATTTAACGGAAAATAAATGGAAATTCAAAATGGACAGGACTGGAATTGTTTTAAAAAAATATTTAAATATACTTATAATAACGTTATTTCTATAAATGTATTGTTGCCCAAAGTAGGATGGTTAGTGAAAGTTGTATGATGTCCACACCAGTTTTTTTTTCCACTGATTAATCTACACAGAGCTTATTGGCAGATACAAAGATAAAATGGCTTGAATGGCATGGCAGAGGGACATCCAAATCTTCGGATTCTATTAAGTTTGACTCATAGATTGATGAAGGAAGAACTTAAGTTCATTTGAAAATAGGGGATAAACCTACAATAAGCCCCTTATCCAAATTTTGGTTCAGTATTATGATCACTAGTGCCGATGTTTTTTAGAATGATAACCCTCAATAGGTCCTTGACTTACATCTGAAGACCTCTGTTCAGTCGAGCTATTACTCAAGGATGTCTGTTAATCAATTGTTTTAAATAGAAATATGTTCAATTGAGTACAGATTAAACAAGAGATTTTCGAAGTCCTAATTAAGCATGGTTAATATATATGGATTAGTATGTAGAAACGAAGTTTCCTTGTTTATATGTTCTATAAAGTCTGTTAAATTTATTAAAATTTATTTTTTAATATAAAACGGTAGGTGTTCGTTGATAATGCATTATTGTTTCTAATCCGCAGATAATTTTGTATTAGTCGTTATCGATTCTTAAAACATTGATACAACTGTCACACAATAAGATTTTAAATTCGTTTTAATGTAAAAGCATTTTACGCTTTTTTCAACAGAAAAAAGTTTCCTAATTATATTACATTTAGTATGATAGCCCATTTTTCGTAATACTTATGAGGATTTTCAATAATCTAAAAGATTGTTTAAAATTACAACCCTTGTTACAATTTTAGTTTTTAAATGTGATAAAAAGAACTAAACATGAAAAATGATTTATTATAGAATCGAGGAAATATTTTTTACAACATTAAATGTGATTACGTAAAATAAAACGAAAATAATATGTCAGGATGATGGAGGAACACTCTGAAATGTAGGCGGAAAGTTAAAATTAAGCACAAATTAATAAATACAATTATAAAGCAAAAAATTCATTATCATTTTACTTTACGAAAATATTATTAATATTTCCACTTTGTAAAATATTAAAAGAATTTCATAATATGTTAATATTTAAAACTATGACTTAAGTTTAAAATTTAAGAAATATGTTAAGAAAATATTCTTGAATATTCATAGTAACAAAGGAAAGAGACATAATTCCTTATAGTAATAGCATTCCATCAGTAGAATTGCAGTTTATGAAGTTCATCTATTCAAGATTTTTTGCATTAATAATTAAACTCGCGTTTATGCTTTAATTCAAAATAGGCACGGTCAACAATATAAAATGAGCAGGTTTCGAGGTTGCTGGCCTCCAAAAGCTGCGACGTTATTGGTGATCTATGGATGATTATATGTCGTGACTTTGTTGTGTTAAGATGCAGGAAACAAGTAGGTACTTAATTCAATTATGAAACCTGATTAAGTTTACAATGAAAACACTTTATACATTTATTTCTTTTTGTCTTTACGATCGAGATGAACATGGTGATAATCTGTTATTATGTTGAATTTTCGGATTTATAACGAGTTTATTGTTTTATAACTGTAAGAATGACGCACTCCGAAGTGTCATTTCTTTCATTGGAGCAATTAAGATCTGCTAATTTCGGTTTGCGGCGGAATATTGAACTATGCCTGGTGTTGGCAATAAGTCCTCAAGGTTCGTTTGGGTTGTGGTTTATTTACCAGGAAATATGTTTTTATTTTTAATTTGATACTTTCTGACCTAATTAATTTTTAGTTCTGTATGTCGTTGTGGAAAGTAGCTATGATCTTCGAAAGGTTACTCTTATGTTTTAGTTTGTTTTCAGGTTAAATTGGTTATCATTTCAATCTTGAATAAATTTTTAATAATAAATATTCTAGAAAATCCCTCTGTAGCTGGAAGACGTTCTAGCAACAATCTCATGTCCTCCTCATCACAAAGTAGTGGAATTTACACTTTAGAAAATCTTGAAGGATATTTTAAGTTGCATTTACTCTCAAATTGGTTTCCATATAACTCTGAAAGGGTAAGAATATGAGATTTACTTTTTGACATCTGTATTGTTATTCAAATATTCTAAACATGCTTTGTTTGTAGAAGATGTCAGCACTAGATATCTCAGAAGGCCAAAATTCATCACATTATCTCTCTTGGAGAAAATTACAATTAAGTCGAGCAAAGCTTAAAGCATCAAGTAAAACTTCAGCTCTGCTTTCTGGTTTCGCCATGGTATGTCATTTATCAATTAATCTGCATTGTTTTATTTTTAGATTCTACACTGTAGTTTAATTCTACAATTGTACTTCATAAAACAGACTTTTATCAGTATCTTAAAAAGTAATTTTAACCCAATTGAGTGATATGTAATGCAAAGTTATGATATGCTTTATAACTGTAAATGAATGTTATTGTTATGCAATGTTAAAGTTGAACATAGTAGTTAATATATAAACAAGAAGTCATAAATGAGATGGTATCTAGTTTGTATTTGTGTTGACTCATAATATTTATTTTGAAGTTATTTAGTTGAAGGGTTTTATCTTAATTAATGTTCAAATATTGTCTTGTAAATGTTTTCTTTTTTCTATCTTATGGAGCTTTATTTTTTTCTTTTTTAAATAATTGGTTATTAAGTGAAACCAACTGCAAACACAATATTAGTTTTATGATATATATAATAGAGGATCAGTTTATGATTTTTATAAAACGTCTTATTCTTTATTTTTTCAATATTTTTGGCTGTAAGCAACAGTGTATTAGATATAGTTCTAATATTTTTTATAGTGTCATTCCTTCTATTCTATAAATCTTATTTTGTTTTAGGTCCCTTTTCTCGCCATCTTTAAAATATACTTTTCTGGATCTGATTAATTTTATCTCTTTGAATTCTGTATATTTGTTTGTTTTGTTTTTTCATTGATAAATATGTGTATACTTAGAAACAATAAAAGGAAGTTATGGCTTTTGAACTGTTATATAATTATATAACATTATATGCTTTCTTAAAAAAAAAAAAAATCGCTTAATCCCTTATTTAAAAGCTACTATTTTTTTGATATTATTCCTTATCATTTAAATGTATTTTGTTGGCACACTAACCTTTTTGATTAACCATAAATGATGTTGGGGTACATATGGAATATTATTAGGGCATGGAAAAAAAAACTTTTATTTTTAAAAAGTTTTAATATCACTGGAATTTTACTGCTGATAGTCTTTCAGTTCTATTGAAACAAGAACATTTTCTCTGAAAACGTTTCATGTAAATGTTTCACAGAACTTTTATTTTTAAAAAACTTTTATTTAAAAGTTCTGTAGATTTTACTAAAAATTCTATCAATAAAAATAGCTTTTATTCTTAGCAACTCAAACAAACGATCCATTAGAATCGTGTGTTATTCATTTAAGACTAATTGTATCTCCACTCTTGAGCCCAATTACTGTATATTTTTCATTTAACAGAACTTTTTTTATGATTTTAAATAAATACAAGTTAATCTTTTACCATTAACCTGGAATTTTATTACAACAAAGTTCTGTAGAACTTTTCCAGAAAAAGTTTCATAGAAACTTAAAAAAGGTAACTTAAAAGTATTAGCTCCTGTATACTAATACCAAGTCATGAAGTCCATTCTCTCAAGTCTCTATAAACTTTTTAATTGTCTGTGTGTGTGAATAGTCTAGTTCAATATATGAATAGTTGGATGAAACCGATATTGTGTATTCAAGGTGTTTTTTCACCAACTTACTTATATAATAACATAAATTGACTGATTTTCACTCTTTTTTCTATATTCTGAAATAGCATTCTAACTATTTTGATTAAACTCCTATATCAATATTCAATGAAATGATCCTTCATATCAGCAGAGATTTAGGCCTATCATTTAAACAGTATGAGAGTACTTGAAGCCAACTTTTCATAATGAATTTTTCTAGAATACCTCTGATTTTGTTTATTTGAAATTATTAACCATATCTAATAGAAAATGGTTAAATTTATCCTTTGGAAGAATTTGGTATTTAATTAATTAAGGAGAAATATTTTCTCAGATTAAAAATAAGTTTTAATTCAATTTCTATGATTAATATTATATCCTTAATAATTTTTATATTGAACATTTTACTTATGTGAAACCCTTAATTTCATTATGTTTATTTTATTTAGGTTGCAATGGTTGAAGTGCAGTTGAATCCAGATTCTATGGTGCCTCCAGAAATGTATGTAGTATTTGCCATAGTGACTACATTACTAGTCGCTGTTCACATGTTAGCACTTATGATTAGTACTTGCATTCTTCCCAATATGGAAGCTGTTTGTAACCTTCATTCAATTAGTCTTGTCCATGAATCTCCACACGAGCGTCTTCATTGGTAACTATAATTTATATTAAATTAACAGCTTAAATTGTTATTTCAATGGAATTATGTTTAAGATTACTGAATTAAAATAAATGAAAAAAAAAATGCTTTATGAACTGGAATGTGAGCTAATGTTGAAACAGCTGCAATTTTCTGTAACTTTTATATTGAAATATTTTGTACATATTTCTTATACAGTATGATATAAAAATCTGCAGTTGTATTATCACCCTTCAGATTAGCCATGGTTACTAGTTACTAAATTTTTTTTTATTAGATGGATTTTTTATCTCTTTTGGTGCTTGACCCATCCCATTCATACTTATATTCTGTTGGTGCTTATACATTGATTACTAACTTTATTTAATAATCATATATTGTTGATAACCAATGATTAGAACGCATCATTTGTAGAATTTATTGATTTTCTTTTTAAAACTTAAAAATTTCATTAACTGTTTTCAGTTATCCAACAAAAGCCCATATATTGCTAATAATTGGGACACAACTTATTATTTATTATCTTTCAATTTTATTATAGCTTCTAATTTTGAAATAAGTATTTAATAATCGCTAAGATCGCCTTCTAATGATAGAATCATTGCAATTTATTTTTATCAGTTTTTTATTTCTCTTCACTGATTTTCATTATGAGCCTATTTTTCAAGTTCTTACCCATAGGCTTGGAAGTAAAATGGTCTAACTTTCTTTTTATTTTACGCTTCCTTGCCTTTTAGGCTATCCAGGCCAGTTGGTGAGGGTGGGTGTTTAAATCCCCCCTCCATAGCACTGGGATGCGAAATCGGTATAATTTTATAACATTGTCTTCTATCCGGGTTGCCAAGCAACACGCGGTGCTATATATACCACGTCCCTAACTGTGACCAATCTGTACAAGCAGTCAAGTTTCTCTTAACAGGCTTATCAATATCCCGAGGTATTTGTATTTTTTTAAAATAAAACTAAATAGTTATCTCCTTTATGTACGATTTGTTCTTCCTCTGTGGTGTAATGCTTTACTACACTATTCACCAACCCTTTGTCTTTAAGTACCTATCAACTATTTTAGATGTCACACTAAAACAAATTTTCTGTTAAATGTTTTTTAAAATATTTAGCAAGTAATTAGAAATATTAGCATTTATATTTGAACATATATGTTAACATCATTACAGCTCAACACTTCTTTTTGTATCTTTCTTCATTTTTTTTATTTTGTATTATTTTCATCAGTAATTATTTCTAAATACCAATTTATCTTGAAAAAAATTGAGCTTAATGTCCATCCTTTGATCCTCATTGGTTGAAAAAGTTTGGGGTCCAGCTCTTTAAATTTCTGTTGATTAATTTATTTTGCCACTTTATCGTTTAGCAAAACAAAATAAGTTGGGAAAAAGAACAGATAAATTTATTAATTAATTTTTTCTACTATTTCTATCTAATTATATATTCTTTAATTTAAAAATGCCCTATAAGAATATATAATCAGATGTGACCATTAATTAACAGTTGTAAAGAGAAATAATGGATTGGAGAAACAGAAATAGAGTGAAAAATGAAGACGTACCTTAATTTGCGGCCAAAGTGTAGCTTTAAATTTATTTGTTAAAACCTTTAAAAATATCAGTTTCTTATTCCCTGATTTTAGGTCTTGTATTTCAAATAAACTTACTCGATATTTCTAGTTCCTGTAGAATATTATTTAATTTCTGGATTGTTAATGGTTTATTAAATAGTTCTATTTACTTAAAAAAATATTAATTTAACGTTTTATTTATTGATTTTTTTAACTCGCCATCTATTGCAACTGTTTCCAACCAGTCTTTTTTACTGAAATTTTGATAAATTACACAAGTTTTAGTTCACAATCTAGTTCTAAACTTATGCCAGCCTAAAGAAGTATGTAGTATTCCACTGTTTCATTTTAGACAATTAAATATTAGCCAAATGCTTCTTGATTGATTTATTTTCAGTAATCTCCCTTATGATAAAAATTAGTCTTTAGGACTAGTTTGGTTAGATCACATCGTGATTGATTTCATTTTGTGCTGCAATTACTATTTCTTGTTGTGGTAAAAGTGAATAGTATGTAATATTTTATTAATGTTTTTTTGCACATTTGAGTACCTTCATTACATAATACATTTTTTTCCGTTCTTAAACAGATTTATTTAAATGATTCATAACTTTTTAATCTCTCTCTCTCTCTCTCTCTCTCTCTCTCTCTCTCTCTATATATATATATATATATATATATATATATATATATATATATATATATATATATATATATATATATATATATATATATATATATATATATGCATATATATATATATATATATATATATATATATATTATATATATATAGAGAGAGAGAGAGAGAGAGAGAGATTAAAAAGTTATGAATCATTTAAATAAATCTGTTTAAGAACGGAAAAAAATGTATTATGTAATGAAGGTACTCAAATGTGCAAAAAAAAAATATATATATATATATATAATGTAAATTATATAGTTTAAAATGGTATTTTTTTAAGTATTTAGATTGTATACCATATGACAGTTTCTTTTTAAATTTTTTTATTTTATATCCAGCATATGAGGAAGCTTTCAGTGTTCACCACCATATTCATTTCTATATAATCCAAATAAAATATTAAATTACAATTTTAGCGATATAATAAAATTTTAATATTGCAATGGAAACTGATGTAGTCTTGTACCTTATTCATTTAGTTTGCTTGGCAATTATAAAATTATGTTATTTAAATCAATAGTTAAAGTTATAATTTAATGTTGTATTTTGATTTTGTATAGAGATGATAACTGATGCTGAACGCTGAAAACTTATCTCTATTCAAAATGTAACATTTAAAAAGACTGCTGTTTAGTGTACAATGTGAATAATTAGAAATATTTAATAGTCTAATACTACCTACTATATATTTTTTCTGTTTTGTTAATACTGACAGTGATTATGGTTATAGAATAAAAACAGTATATATATCTAGTCCTGTCATAAATATTGTTACTAGGAAATATTTCATGAGAAAAATTAATTTTTTTCAAAAACTTTATTAGAAAATAAAATGTATTTCTGTAGAGTGTAAAACAAAAAAATAAATTAATCAAAATGTCCCCCTTTTGTCTTGACACAAGCATATAATCTCCGTGGCCAGTCATCAATAGCAGCACGCAGCACTTTTTGAGGAAAGCGCTCAACTGCTCGGATCAGAGATTGTTTGAGGCTTTCCAAGTTTGGGTGTGTTCTGTGGCATGGCATCCTCTCCATTTCGGACCAAAGCCGATAATCTAGTGGGTTGAGATCAGGGCTTCTGGAGGGCCAATCCGAGGCAGAGATGAACTCTGGAATGTTCTTTTGCAGCCACTGCTGAGTTGACCTGGCCTTGTGAGCTGGAGTGGAATCCTGTTGGAAAACCCAATGACTTCTAGCAAACAAAGTATCATTTAGAGGCTTGACAACGGTTCCAAAATATCGTCCTGATAGTTTTTAACGGCTGTTTTAACTCCATTTTCACAAAAATGGAGCTTTGTGGTGCCATGAAAGCAAACTCTCCATCACTTAGAAAGGGTGATGACCGCTTTCCACTCTTCCAATGACTTCCTGGGCTTGTTTAAAGCTGTGTGCATACACACAATCATTTTGGTGATTAAATTTTACTTCAATTGTAGAAATTTCCACCATTGGTGTAACAGCTAAGGAGCACTTTGTATCTATCCGCTCTAATTTTTTTTAGGAAAGTTGTTAGCCTTTGTCCTGTCATTCTTCGAAATGTACCAATCCTATGGTCACTTTTTATTATGCAACATATTGGTCTTACAGAGATTCCCATTTCTTGAGACATGAATTGTTGTTTTCGAATTGGCTTCCTTCTGATTCGGACAGCCACTGCTCTCACTCCATTTGCCGTTCTCACAGTGACAGCCACTGTGTGAGACAGCCCGATCGAGGTTTGTCACATACAGATAGCGTCTCATTATATCTATTTATAGTGCTCTACAGGAACATACGGCTGATATCCAAAGGTTTCAAATTGTTAGAAAATCTGTGACTTACATTTTCCAACTTTGTTTGAGGCGATCACAGCTATTTGGTTTTCTTTATCCTCCCCACTCCATTTTAACTGAGCGGAAAAAAAATACAAACTAATTGGGATTATTATCCTGAATGTAAAGAAAATAACCTGCTAGAGATAAGGATTGTAAACAAAGTTCAACTTTTGTAACATTATTTATGGCAGAACTACTTGGTAGATTTAATTTTGTTTATGTAATTTATCACCTTTATATGTGCTTCATTTAAAAAAATAAATAATTATTATTGATGGAGTATGTAATTTTAATTTATAAAGATTAATTATTGATATTCTTATGAAAACATTTGTGAAATAGGTATATTGAGACTGCTTGGGCGTTTTCTACACTTCTTGGTCTTCTTCTTTTTCTCTGTGAGATTGGTATTTTATGTTATGTTAAGTTCTATGATGTATCTAGAACTGCTGCTTGGTCAGCTGCCATTATTGTGATTCCTGTATTTATAGTTTTTGTTGCTTTTGCTGTTCATTTTTATCGTTCACTTGTTTCACATAAGTACGAAGTAACTGTTTCTGGTATCAGGGAACTTGAGCTTTTAAAAGAGCAGATAGAAGCTACAGATCTAGATCAAAGAATGAATGGTGGAAATCATGACATACAAATTGTATAGCGTTGGATTCACTTTTGAATATGAATGTACATATGTAAATTTATAAATTATTCTTTATTTAATATTTTTATGTATTCATTACATACGGAGATGTAATTGAAGTGCCTGATAAACTTTCAATTTATACTTTAAATGACATAATTGTGATTTTTTTTTAAATTTTAAAATTAAGTTATACAAAGGCTATTTTAGTTTTAATTTAATTTGACTAAGACATACAATTATGTTTTACATATGAATCATTACAGGGTATTTTTTTTATTTACGTGTCATTTATTAACAAATAGTATAAAAAACTACTATTTTCCTCTCAGATATGTGAGAAATAAAAGATTCAATTTTTTAGTTAATATGTAATCAATTCTTAAGAAAATCATTGATAAATTTTTTAAAGCTCTTTTTATTGTTTCTTGTTTTGGTTAATGCTATGGGTTATTACTTCTAATAATATTAGGTACACAATATTAATTGGCAAAGCCTGTTTTTGTAATTCATGTTACTAATTATTATCTTACTTTACGAGATTATTTATTCTAATGAAATCCATTTTCTTTTTATTTTAAGTGTTCTTTTTGAAAAACTGAGACAGTTATTTTATCTTCTAAATTTTAGATATACCTTATCTTATCAGTTCATATAGACACCATAGTATCCTTTTTTCTCAATTGTTTGTGGCAAAATGACTGTCTACTTTTCTAATTAGTTTGATATGGTAGTTGCAAGATGCTGCAGCAAAAATAACAGCTGCTATGACATACATTGCTACTTTTTTGTTTCCCCACTACCGAAGGCAGGGAAGCATTGCATTCGTGATAGAGGTTAAAAAAATTTATGTTCAAAATTGAAAATTTCCACTCGTGTTTTATGTTTCTGACATCAAGGATCAAATTAGGTTTGATGTCTGTAGTCAAATCGATGTAATGAGGATATCACCTACTATCTTTTATCCAATATCCATGAAATTTACAGAGATTATGGGGGTTGGCGCCTAAACGGTCTTATATCAATTTGATCTAATTCCATCCAGCACTTCTGCTTGCGCACATGTAAGAATGGCTTGTTCGATTCAGCTAAAAGTTGGAAAGAATGTAGCTATTAATAAAAATATAGTATAGTATCAATTTAATTTAATTCTGTCTTTTACTTTATTTTTTATATGTGCAAACGTGTTTTCCTTAATACATATATATCTCTAAAACCACACGTTCGATTTGGCTCAAATTCGGAGAGAAGATAGAGATTGGTTAACAGATAATTAAGTACATAACAATTTTATCAAATTCTATCCACTACTTCCAAAAAAACACTTCCGATTTCGGATCAGGAAATATATCATTTTATGCGCTTATACTTTGAAAAGGGCTCCTTCGATTTAACTCAAAACTGGAGGAAATTTGGAGAATAGTATAGAAATTACCTAGTGTCAATTTCATTGGATTCCAATTAATAATTAAAACTAATATAAATACTTGTTAACAATATAATTACTGTGGAATATGGAAGACATTGGTCATATGGAGTGAGAGTTAAGTTAATACTATCTTTTTATGAGGTTATAAAATTTTAGGTTTTATTCAAAAAGTTAATTTATACTTCATTACTTCGTCGATTCCAAACGTTACTGACATGACACTTATTGCCGTTGCTTAGATCTCGTGTAATTTTTAGTGAATTTAAATCAATTTTTGCTCTGAGTTATAAAAAAATATCTTATTTGTGATTGTTTTTATCTCTATTGAAGTTCAACCAGCTCGTCGTGGTCCCGAATTCCTCCTTAAATATCAAAGTTGTGTGAACTTCATGCAAATTTTTATATAAAAGTTGAATTTTTCCTGTGGATTTTTTGTTCCATCCGTTTTATGTATGAAAACATACCTACTAAGTATATATCACTACTGTTTGTGCAAAAAGGGCTTATGGTAAAAATTTTCAATTTTCGTTCTATTTCTGATGAAGGTAGATGAGCAAAACTCGTGGATTTCAAACCTGTATATGTTGAGGGATTACTGAATTTCCTAAAACGGCTTCTCCCAGAGATTTTATACTTATATGAAAAATTTTAGACTTTGTAATATAGATATTTTTTAGCCAATGAAAATGGTGAGGTAGCTATCTATACTAATTCTACTTGGCAGACTTTTTTTTTTGTCCTCTCCTTCCTCACCTTTTAGACTACACCAAGTTTGCCCAGGCCAAGGGTTGAGGGCGGGGGTTTAATGCCTGGGTTAAAAACCCTTCTAGGCACCAGGACACGAACTTATAAGTATTTATCGAATTATCTTTTAGCCGGGTTGTCAGGTAACACGCGGTGCTATTGACATGCATTAGCCTGCTTATCTACCCCGTCCCTCATTCATTGCTACCTATATTTGCATTGACAATGAACGGTCTTATCTTCCTTACCTTCCTATCTTTAAGGTTATATGAGATTTTTCTCTGAACAGGAAAGAGGGCTGAGGATTGACGCCAGAGTTAAAAGTCCTTCTGGCACCAGGATTTGAACTCATAATCTTCGGTTCATCAGTTGTGTTTTATAGCCTGCTCTGCCACCCCATTCCCTTGAACTTTATTATCAACTGTTTTGGTGATTGTACGAGGAAACATTGTTCTCATTCAATGTTGTATTTGGATTAAGTTTAAACTTGGAGTTTATTCTATCCAATGTTTTGGTGTTATTTAATTCCTTGAGAAGCATACAAATTTTCCCTGTTTAAGGAGGAAAATAATACATGTGTCACTTTTAACGGTTTCAAGTTATGATTGGTTTTAATGCATTGGTCACAGCATCTTTAAATGAAAAAAAAAGAAATCGAGAAAGAAACAAAATTGTAAACACTGGTTAAAATTTGATGTTAAAACAATTTATTCCATCATCTGTTATAATTTATATAACAATTTTACAGCAATAAATTCTATTTATAGAAAATTCCATTTCTACTTCTCCACCATTTTCCAAATTAACTAATTGTTAGGAGGTTAATTGTCAGCCCTATTGACATTAGAAAGTAAAACCTTTCACTATAAGTGAGGTTTAAGTGCATGAGAAAGAAGTGTCCCATAAACATTTGTATTAATTTTAATAGAATATTACTTAAATGAGTTTTAAAATATAGAATTAATTTCAAACAAGATTGTGAATTATTTTTTGGATAATGGAATTTAAAAGGGGTTGACTGGAATAATGATTGAATAATGTTGAGTTTTGACTTTATTTGAAAATAAAATACAGGAATATTTTATTTCTTCATGATATAGTTTATTAGAACCGTAATTTATTTTTTATGGTATGAGGAAATAGTTTTTATGCTATTTATTCTGTTGATATGATTTTTTTATGAATGTTATTGGTGATTTGCCATTAGCTCGAGACCTACCCAAATGAAGTTTAAATTTTATTATAAACACCTACTGTGTTTATAAATCTGTGTATTTACTTAGTGTAGGATTGTTATTATTTGACTTACAGAGTTATTGACTTATATAAGCTAAACAATTGTAATTTGTTTATTTTAATTGATTTATAATCTTTATTGGATTTTTGTCTTCCTCTTGATGAAACAGTTGGTGCTAAAAAATAAAATAAATGTAAATAAATATTTATGTTAAATCATCTAAGCCATTAGATTACAGTAATGGGTTTTAAGAGTTTTCACTTATATAAAGGAACTTGAATCTAAGTATTGATTTAAATTACTATGTTTGTACTATATGTTTTAAGATAATGAAAATACCACAATAACAAGTTGGTTCACAAATATAATGGACTCCATAACTTTCATTTATTTTATTTGTATATGTTTTTTGATTTAATTAAACTAGGGTGGAGATTGTCTTATGTAAAATGTTACTTATTAATGTTTATAATTCTTTATTTATATTACGTGAGAGAAACATTACTTATTCAATATATATTATTTAATATATTCCATATTCTTTCTGTATTTAATAATTCTAAATTAATATTTTCAATTAAGTTTTAATTTATGTCTACTTATCAAATACCAAGAAATACAGTTGAGTTTATATATTTATTCTTTACAAATTTTTGTTTTAATTCTGGGAAGATTTTAGTTCTAGATTGGATTCTATTTATTTATTTCAGTTTTTCTAACATTCAACATGTTAAGTCCTTTGCTAAAATATTGTCCTCATCAAATGAAATAATGGTTATTATATTGTTTGTAGTTTTATATCTAGAGCATTTTAATTCTATCTTATATTTTTAGTGATTATAAACACACAATTTTGTTTTACAATGTAGTAATCAAAATGATTTTATTTTGGACAATATGGGTTGAAGTTTTATCTGAATATAAAAATGAATTGTATATATTTAAAAAAAAATGCTAACATGTTATGTCAAATGTTTATGAATATTGCAGAATGTTCCTTTTGACTGCTATTATGTCAAACATGTGTTATTCTGTTTAATTAGTGATTAAAATTCACAATCTAATTGATTTGAGTTATGTGATATAATTTTTTTTTTGTTATGGAATTTTATTATTTTAATTCTTTCTGCTTGTGATTTATCATTGATACTAATACTTAGTTTTAATTTTATTTATAATTTGTTTTACTGCATTGTGATAAAAAATCAATTTTTGAAAACTGTGATCTGCATATTTGTTTTTGTTGTCTGATACTTTAAAATTATATATTATTTTCATATTTTTAGTAAAATCTGATGTTTGTAGTCTTATTCTCACCTAAATATGTCTTATGCTTATCCTTCAGGTCGAAGGTGTTTCTTTTGTCTTCCATTTACTATGTATATACCACATAAATTATATATATATATATATATATATATATATATATATATATATATATTTATATTTATATACTTTGTATATGTATGTATGTATATACACATATTTAAAATGAATTATGTATTTTTTGGGGTATATTTTTATATGGAATTTTTTACTTAAGCCTGTACTTATGCAAATGTTTACTTCCTAAAAACAATAAATTTTAAAATAAAATAAATAATAGAT